TTTTCTTTACATCTTGTGCCTCATCTCTCTTTGACAAGAATATTATAATTATCTTTTTTAAAACTATTATCAGACAGACATATACTGACCTTTAATTATGTGCCAGGCAAGGGTGAAAAGTCCAGTGAGTGAATCCCAGCCCCGGGGCGAGCTGCCTGTGGGCCGGGCTCTGGAGGACACCCCCTTTGTGGCACCGTGTGCAGCGATCCTCATGGATCGTCAGGCCGTGTCTGGAAACATTTGTCACTGTCACGCTGGGTGAGGTGCGGGCAGTGCCACTGGCATCCTGCTTGGTAGAGGCCAGAGGTGCCATTTGACACCCTGCAGTGCATGGGACTGCCCGGGCAGAGATGACACACTCCCAGTGTCAGTGGTGTCATGGCGGAGAGCCGCACACGGAGTGTGATCTTGTTCTTAGTGCTTTCTGTGCCTGGCGTGCATTGCTGATGCCCCGTTTGGTTTAGGGGTTTGGGGAGGCTGAGCTGAATCTGCACCCTGAGGACAGGAGGAAGAGTAAGGAGGGGACAGGCCTTCTGAGCATTGGGAGTGGTACCGGCAGCCACCTGGAGGTGATGTCTGGGAGCCGCAGGTTAGGGACACCGGGGGCCAGGTTAGGGACACCGGGGGCCCAGGTTAGGGACACCTGGGGCCCAGGTTAGGGACACCTGGGGCCCAGGTTAGGGACACCTGGGGCCACAGGTTAGGGACACCTGGGGCCACAGGTTAGGGACACCTGGGGCCACAGGTTAGGGACACCTGGGGCCACAGGTTAGGGACACCTGGGGCCACAGGTTAGGGACACCCGGGGTCACAGGTTAAACACATCTGGACCTGTGTTCTAACCTGGAATCGTGACCTCATGGTTCATAGGTTGACACCCAAGCTTGAGATTTTTTGAATTTATATCTGGTTTTAGTGTGTCCATAGCCAATGGAGTCAGGTAATATAGAAAATTAAGTATTTTTTTCTTTGTTGCTTTTGAAAATAACTATCTTTAATAAAATTTAAAAAATGAGTTGGCATTTACTTGAAAAGAGTTTACTGTTGTTTTTATTATAGATTCTGGAGCCTATGATAAGTCATCTCTTTTGATAATGTGTTTAAAAAGTGTGAACAAACTATATGACAGCGTGAAAAATCTACACAGATGGTTATCTGTAGGTTTTCTTTTAAAACAGGCCAATCCCATCTGAGGTAACAGCTCTGCTGTCAGCAGAGTGAAGCATGTGCAGTGAGGGGTCCTGCCCAGCCCTTGAGTCTTGCTAACATGCAGCCCGGGAGGACTGGTTGGGGAGGAGGGTGGCTCGGGAGCAGCACAGCCGAGCACAGGCGTGTCTGCGTGGTGCTCCGAACCACAGCGCCATCGCCAGGCGCTCTGCTCCTCCCGGTGGGACCTCTCGGTGTCCTCAGCTTTCCGTTGTCTGCACTTCTTTGTATTTGTAATGTTTGTTGAAGACCTGAAAGCGCTTCAGTTTAAGAAGGCATCTTTTGGTTCTACAGGTTATATATTATATATCAAGGTTCATCGTATCAGAAATTAAAACACGAGTTTAACGTATTATATATATTAATTCGTTAAAAATACCAATGAGAAATTCATTAATGCTCACATACATAGCATTTTTATGAAAAATAACTGTATTGCAAAAAGTTTAGTGAGCACAATGGCATGGCTGTACATTTTTGTCACTCTCATTCATATCTGGCTTAATTGAATTCAGCTAAATTTTCAAATCTGTTTCTGCATCCAGGCAGTCGTTTGGAATATTTAATTCAAAGTTTTTAGAGAATGAGATTTAGAAAAGCGAATTGTGTGTTAGTATTTCCAAGAAAAGAGTTTAGCCTCCTGGGCCCCTCAAAGGGTTTCTGGGACCGCGTGGGGGGGTTCCCTGGAATCACAGTTTGAGAACCACTGGGCTGAACCATACATTTCCTGCGGGCAGAGACCATTGCCTTGGCCTCTCTTCTTCTCTTCCTGGGAGACTTACAAAATATTCATCTTGATTCCTCTCGTGTGCTTACTGAGTCAGCTTTCCCCTGTAAACCCGCTGGGAGCGGAGCCGCCCGGTGAATCAGGGCTGGCCTTCCTTTGCAGGTCGCCTTTCCCCTCAGCTAGTCATCACATAAGAATTAATCTACATCTTTGACTCAGCAGCCAGTGAGGGGCCCCGGATGCTTTTCGCTGTGTCTGATGACACGGTAGACTGGCCACAAATAGAGAGATGTTTGGAAGGAAGTATTCCCTTCCCGGTGAATTCTAGGAAGTCTCGGAGGTTGCTGGGAGAAATAAGCGGGAATTGTTTTCTGGAAACGGAGTGGGAGAGTCCTCTGGTTGCATTTTTTGTGCCCGGCAGCGGCAGGCGGCCCGAGAGCCAGTGGGAAGCAGCAGTCGGCTCTCCAAGCGACAGCATTGCATTTGCCAAGTGCTGTGCCAGGGCTCTGCAAACACACAGCAGAAACACACAGACGCGGGCTGCAAATGCTTGTGCTGTTGGTGCCAACTTTTCAGACTTTAGATAAAATGTAGGTAAACAACATCAACCATGATAAATTTTGCATAAAGCAAATATGTGTACAACTTGCAGTGTTTACATTGGAGCAGATTTACCAGCTACGTTAGGAAAAGCCTTCATGAATAAATACAGTGGCATAGCAGCAGTTGTTTTTGCATTTGACTTGTAAAGAAATGGAAGCGAGAACCTTTTAAAAACAGCATGAATGTGTCTGCTTTATCTGAACGAGTGGGGGCGTTTTCTCACTGCTTGCCTCTCACTAATAGTCTCTGAACTTCTCTCTCTGTCCTCTCCTTCCGGGGCCGTGCATTGCTGCCGTTAGCGCTTCAGCATGGAAGGGATCTCACATGTCATTCAGAATGGCCTCCGCCACACGTTTGGGAATGCAGGCGGAGAGAAACAGGTGCTTGGTTTTCCTTATTTTCCTCACTCTCTGCTCTTTTCGTTCTCTGTGTAAGCAAAGGTCCTGGCAGTCTTACTAACTTACTAATTAAGACTGTTGCTTAAAAGAGAAATGCAAGTTCATAATATTTATAGTCTTGAAAATATATAGACTTAACCTTAGGAAAAAGCAGTATAGACTCAATGTATCCTCAGTGCACGTGTTAGAGCTCTGTTTTTCACTTTCACCTCTAAGCAGATATTAACAAATGCACGTAATTCATTGCATGTGTAGAATATATAACTGTGAAAAGTAACTATGCTATGCTATTCTAAAAGTTTAAGAAACAAGATCTTGTTTTTGGGAAAGAAAATCAGGAGTAGGTATCTTTGGGATTAGTGTTCTAGCTCAGAAATATCTATAGAGTCTGTCTCACCTCTTTTTAAATGATACTCGTGTGTGTTTAAGGGATGTCACATAGTCTGCCAACTCGCTTGTTTACCAAAGGCATGAAACACTTTATACAGGTCATACATAGGCATGAGTGTAGTAACTTGCTTTTTATTTGTGTGGTGATTTTAGAAATATCACGAACATGGGGAACATCTACATTGAGTTACTTCTCACAATTTGAAATTTTTGCCTCAAAAAGAAAGCTCTTTCGTTTAGCTTGTGAGTGCAGCAATGCAAGTGCACAGCAGGCAGCTTGGTAGGCAGTTTATACGAAGAAGGCATCTGAGCCTAGGGTTTTACTGGAGAGAGTTCTGTATTCCTTAGGAAGGGAAGTAACCGACATTATGTAATCTCTTACATTGACATTTGCAGCTTATAAAGGGATTCCATGCAGGGATGGTCGAATTTTTAAATTTATTTTGGTGTTTATCGCCTCAAACCCTTATTATGGCAAAATAACTTCCAAACTGGTCCAGCACATGGCGTAGCTGGGTACACGCATGCCCAGGCCAGATTACGGGAGCTTCTCAGGCTGTCTCCCGCCCCTGCCATTAGTGAGGCCCGGGAGGGCACGCCTCCAGCTCGTAGGCCTTCTTCCCAGCGGGTGTGCCCGTCCTGCGGGTGGGCATCACCTGGGAGAGGTTACACCAAAAAGATGATGGAACTCCACGTTTCTTCAAGATTGAGCAGTTCACGCTTTCCTGCTTTTCTCAACCTAGGGATCTAGTTATTATTAAGGAACTTTATCTTGTATTTTTGATTCCGACTGGGATAAAATCACTCAGGATTAGGAATAGAGCTGAGATGTGGGCCAGGGCTAACTGGGAGGAGCCGGACAGAGAGCATGGAAACCAGGGGATCTCTAGCTGAGCCTCTGCAGACTGCACTGACCGTGATTTTTGGTGGAGTGGCCAGAATAGGAGAATCTGGACAATAATTTTTAGACACTGCTTTCATGGGACATAGTTATAGGACATAACTTGATACTTGAGAGCCATTACACTAGTGAACTAGGCAATTTGTCTCAATTTCAGACATGAATTTTCATTGCTCATTTACCCTTATGCCATTCTTTCACTTTTCTCTTTTCCATTAATAACTTCAAACATAACTACTTACACAATAATTTAAAATAATAATAATAACACACACATCTTAAATTATTTGGCTAAATGTGTCTTTGTTCGTTTCTAAAAGAAGCTAGTATGTGTTTTTCATGTGGCCATTTTATACCACCAGAAAAAAGTGGCCTGAAACAGAATTATTTGACTATTGGGAATTATTTTGTAATGCAGAACTGTTACAACTATGTTTTTAGCTAAAATTACTACCTTAAAAATGTGTTGAAAATATGCAAGGAGAATGTTAGATAAGACTCCACTTTGAACACATTGAACAAGTCATCCCCAGGCCTACTCATCTGACATTTTTAATAACGGAAAGGTGAAAAAATGGGTATTTATTTGACATTGGGCTTGGATGAAGCAGAGAGGTGGGAAAAAATGAGCTGCAGCTGAGACATGAGATGTATGTGTCCATTACTAATGTAACTCGTATCATGTTATAAAATAGACCTCTGGTAACAGTTTTAGTATTTGCAGATCAGATAATTCAGATTTAAGTGACATTTTTTTTTTTTTTTAATTTGGCAGTACTTAACAACAGTTATTCCCTATGAGAAAAAAAATGGACCACCATCTGTTGAAGATCTTCAAATATTAACAAAAAGTGAGTAAAGACCAAACTAAACTGTTATTTATCTTTTGCTAAGTCAACTAAATACTGATTTTAGTTGGCTGGCTACATTGCTGTGGTTCTTGTTTGTTTTATTGATGTAAGGTTGTAAATGATGCATTTCATCCTTTATTCTTTTGAGAATGAAACTATAAATGGTTCTGACATCCAACACAACCCTAAATCTAGAGTTGATTTATGGGTTTTATTTTTTAAATCTATTTTCTGGCGTCTTAAAATATGTACAACTTGAACTTTTGGGGGAAAGTAGCTTGATTCTCCATTACCTTTTGCATGTTTAAGAACATACCCATTTATTAGTGAGGAAGGTGCTTCATGGATCTTATGTAAATATCACTCAGTAACCAAATAAGAAAGATTGAGAAGTACAGCTCCCAGCCCCCCCCCACCCCCCCTTATGAATACAGACACCTAGACTGCAGAAGAACAAGATTCGTGGGCTTGTCTGTACCTGTGTGGCCTAGGCATGTGTTTTTTAACCAGTATAACAGTAGCCGTTTTTCCTATTTTGCCTTTGCTTCGAGACAAAATCCTGAATCCAGTTAGGATGAGGCTGGTTCACCAGGTTCCTCGGGAGAGGAGGCGTCAGCCTGGCTGCCTTGTGGTCTGGCCTTCACTTTGGGCTCCGCTTTAGAAGTTTCCAGAAGGCTGGCAGACGCGCTCCCTGAGGACAGCTCCCAGCTCAGTTACGTCCCTCCAGCCGTGGCCTCTGCAGCCCGGTGCCTGTGCTCCCAGCTCCCAGCTCCCAGCCGGGCACCTGATGGGAACCTGCCTCCAGCCCGTACGGCAGAGCTGGGCTCCGGGCGGATGGCCGGTTTCTCTTCTCCGCTGGTGGTGAAATCGGGGCAATGACTCCCAGGGAGCTGGGATACCCTGACCCGAATTCCTGAGCATTTGCAGGTGTGTTCCCTCATCTAGAAGATAATAATGTGCAAGGACTGGTTCTACCATCATGAAGATTAAGGCTAAGCGATAGACATTAAATAATATTTTGATCTGAATTTAGAATTGTCGCCTTCTCCTTCTCTTTTGTTTCCTAGTTCTTCGTGCTATGAAAGAGGACAGTGAAAAGGTTCCGAGCTTGTTAACTGATTATATACTGAAGGGTGAGTTTCACCATGGCTTCTGGGCAATGGTTGGCGAGTTGTAATTAGTCAGTAAACGCGCCGTCTTGCTAATAGAGTAAAAGTAACTTTCAAAAGCGCAGCCTTCATTATGCTGGGTGAGGATCCATGGCTGAATTATGCTGCCAACATTACAAATTGTGGTTATGTAACATTTACCTTTACTTGAGGTCCTGGGCTAGAAGTCATTTCCACGGGTAAATTATAAACATGGAAGCGGGGATGGGAGGAATAGTATGGAAATATTGCCATAATTAGGCGTAATTAGAGCGCCAGCTGTTGACACTGGGAGGGTTTGCGAAGGTGGCCTCTGCCAGCTTGGGGACAGAGGAAGAGGACGGGATAGTGAGGTGCATGAAGGAGGGAGCAATCAGCTAACTGTTCCCAAGGACTGTGACAGGGATTGGTGTGAAGGACAGGGAGGGGTGCAGGGGAAAAGGAAAGGAATTGATTTGCATGAACCCAGTGCAAAGTGAGCCATAAATCCGAGAAGCAAGAGCAAGACTACAGAATGGCATAGTAATGGGCAGGTGATCGCTGGAGGAGTTATGAGATCACCTGCTTTGCTAGGGCAAGAGGGAGCTAGGGATGGTGAAGAGGGGACAGGAGAAGGCAGTTACAGGCAATGAAATGGCTTCTCAATGAAATGGTCTTTTGAAAAGGAGCAGTTACTCAGGTGACAGTCTTTCAGAGCATCACAGAATGTGCTGGGTTCACTTTCAAGAGCACCCTCTTCGGGGAGCTTTCCTTGGGGGGGGGGGGGGGGGAGGGCGTTCTCTCCTCTCTCCCAGGTGTTAGCTGAGCTCAGGAAGGCTGGGCTTCTGAGACGTTAGATAACCCGATGGGATGTGTCCTCCCCCAGCGCTCCGTGGAGGGATCCCCGTGGGGGCAGCACGAGTTTCACTGTGAGACTGGGCTGCCGGGAGCCAGCCAGCCGTTAGCTATCAGAGCGTAGAAAAGACATCGTTTTTCCCCCATAAGCTGGTTTTCGATGGCAGGCTTTTTCTTCTTACATTCTGAATGTTTTAAAAAAATCTGACGTCTTTGCTTTTGTGTCGCGCTAGCATTGGGTGAGAGCTGGCTGTGCTGTTTGTTCTGACAGATGCGGGACAGGCAGGAGATGAACATGGAGACATGTCCATTGTTAATCATCAATGTGGGCGCCAGGGCCTTGCCACGCGGGGCAGAGGGAGGAGCTTCTGAGGTGTCTCTGGCTACTCTATCCTCCGACCTCACGGAGGAATCGATGACCCCCTAGAACAGTGCTCTGGGGGAAAGGATTTCTGCTTTCCCCTCTCACTCAGCCGAGCTGGGAGCCTGCACCGCCTGCCTCAGGGAAGCAGCATCCCCTTCCCTCCCCTGCTAGGCGCTGGCTCCTGAGCCGGGCTCTGTGGTTCCCACGCTGCTGAGTTGCCCGTGGGCACGGTGGTTCTGTCCTGGCAGGACTGGGTGGAAGTGAAGCTGGGGTGCAGATGGAAGTGGGGGTACTTGTCCAAGAGGATGAAGGGGCGTGGAATGCTCAGGTGTTCCAGTGCACGGGAAGGTGTGGGCAGCGGGAAGGTGTGGGCAGCGGGAAGGTGTGGGCAGCGGGAGGGTGTGGGCAGCGGGAGGGTGTGGATAGGGGGCGATTTCCATGCCAGTGTCCACCCACCCGGCACCCCGCCGCTCCTCCCTCTGGGACCAGCAGGACCCGTTTGCTTGCGAGGGGTGCTGCCCCTTTTCTTGGTGGGGGTTCTCATGTAGTTTAACTCCAGAGGGAACTTAAATGCAGGGGAGAAACGCCAGAAGGCAGGAGTGGCCTCACTGACCCGAGGAAGAAGGGACGGGGCTGTGGAGCCCCAGGAGCGGTCCTCACCGTCTCACCCAGCCACAGCCGAAAGGGGTACCGAAGGCTGTAGGGCAGTTCCGGCTCCTGTGCTCGTCCTGAAGCAGGTGCACACGGGCACCTGTCCGGGCTCCCGGGGAGGCAGTTTGCTTTGCCACAAGCCTCTGGTACAGGCTCACAGGGGCTTTTCTCTCCGAGGGGGGCCATGGAGACACGGCGTGTGGTCTCTCACTTATGGGCAATTGCAATCAGTATCATAAGAGAACTTTCATTGTTGGGTGTAGCCTTTCAGAACCCTTTTTAAAGTTGCTACTGTGGACCCCTGCATTGGTACTTAGTTCTCCTTACTAACTGGTGTTTGTTATGTAGATGTAAATACGATGAACACACTGTGTACACAAAATGAAGTTCTCTCTCCCCCCCTAGTTCTGTGCCCCACATAGGGCAGCCGCTCGGCGGGAGCAGCCTCTCGCGGCCTGGAGCCAGATTTCACTCAGCATCCCCCGAGAGCCGGCCACCCTCCCTCCTGCTAGCGGAAGCTCGGCACACGTGAACTTGGGTTTGTGACGCAGTATTAAATTAATAGACCACGCCTTCACTGATTTTTTTTGTATTACAAACCAAGAGAAACCTGGCACTATTTTGAATTCTAGGGATTTTTGTTGTTAACTATGAACAATTATGAATCCTTCTTCAACTTTTAGAGTCAGGGGGTGTAATATGAACTATGCATGTGCAGTTATATTTTTACTAACTGATCATATGCCTATTTGAGGCTTCATGGCTTCCTAGACGTAAACTACATTGAAGAACAAGTGAAAGCAGCGGTCGCCAACCGGTGGCCCACCCATGGCCCGTGGACGTCTGGTGGTCCATAAGGTCGGAAAGGTGGGCTGGGTGAGAGCATTGAGAAATTTATGGCACAGCTGTTCCTCGGTGACGGCAGAAGTCACCACTGATTTTTGGAAGAGAACCGTCAGGATAAATGTCACCTACCGCTCTGGTCCAGGGACGGAAACTAAACGTGGGCTGTTGTCAGGATGAAACGAGCATGTGTGCTGTCCTGGTGTAATCCTCAGTGAGAACAGAACCGCTGGCGATGGCTGGTGTTGGAGGCTGCTGCGGGCTTCACCACTGATCAAGTTTTAACCATTGAGTTGCCCTTTACTTTAGAATCTTGTTTAACCTGCGATGTTTTGAGTTTTGTTGTACGTGTCTGCGGAGGAGTGTCCTTCAAAGGGAGTGTGTTGTATCCTGAAGGTGCTTAAGAGACTAAGCTGCAGCTCTGCCCGTGCCCCACTGCTGTTCTGTCCTCACGCCCGTGCGCTTCCCCAAGTGCTGCTCATGGAGACCTCCCTGGCCGTGAAGCACTCGGCCAATCCTCATCGAGCCAGTGCCCTTCAATAAATGTTGGAAAAAAGATAACGTATGCTGGAGAGCTTCGTTTTTATTTTCAGCTTTTGGTGTCTCGTTAACCGGTTGTCTTCCCTTGCAGCGCTAGCTTCTCCCCTTACTATGCACACACTGTCCATCACTGCAGCCCGAGCTGGGAGACCCCGATCGCCTCCTGACGGTAAGGAGTGTTTGGGGAGGGGGGCTTTTCTGGAATGATAGGAGCTCTGCTCTTTTTATATCTGTGCACGGGCGCTGAGGTAGCATGGTGCAGGAAGCGTGTGTGTAGCTGCTGACAGCCTGAAAGCAAAAGGACAGCTTGCCTTTCTAATCCCCAGTGTGGAGTTACTTTGAAGGTACATGGTGCGATTGAAGATGAAAAGTGTTTATTTGTGGCCAAGAACCAAAGTGCAAACCACCCCTTACCACTTTGGTTCTCGAAAAACTACGGTACATGCCAAGTGCCTGCCATAGATCTATTTTATTCTTCAGGAAATTATATTTGTTTTTCTTTTACAAGAGCACAACAGGAACCAAAGTAAAAGAGTAATAGATACAGCACTCAGGATAAATCATATCTTTAAAATAATAATAAGAAAATTTACACCTTGTCCTATATCCTGTTAGTATTTTCATAATATGGCCATGATTGAAAAAGCAAGCATTTACAATTTTTTTGATAAAGACTTTTTATGCCAGGAATGGATTAATTGTCAACAAAATTTTATAATAGGCTGATGTAAATCTTATTTTGGTAACATCATATCATTAACAAATTTTGGAAATAGATAAAAATATTGCCCCTTGATAATAAATCTTTTTCTTTCTTTGATGCAAACAGCTAGAACACCTTTTTCTTTTTTTGATATTCTAAGACAAAGAAAATGGTTAATCTTCAGATTAATAAATTAGGACATTATAATAATAAATTAAATTTTTTTTTAAAGTTCAGCAATCTCTGTCCAAGTATTTACAACAATACTTGAAAGTTCCTTTACAAAACAGAACACATTTTCTTTTCACATTAAGCATACTGGGTATCTGTGTCTTTCACAACAAGCATTTTTAAAAGAAAAAAAAAAAATCAATGCACAAATGGGTAATTAGTATAAAAGTGCTAAGAGCTGTTTGAAAAGTTAACACTATAGTATACAGTCAGTTATATTTGAGGCAAACTACAACAAACTTCCAGCTTATTATGGACAATATTCCAGTAGTTGTTTCAAACAGTTGTTTGAAGGAAGAAAAAAAAACACAAAAAATCCAGGAGCTGATTGGTGACGCAGATAAACTGCCATCAGTGTTTCTGGCCAGTGGAGCGAATTGAAAACCGACTGAAAGCAAATCCGAATGAGTTAGGAGGTTTACTCAAGGAAGGAAGACCTTCTCCCCGGCAGGTGTGACGTCATGGCGTGATCGTACACACCCACCTTTCTTCCCAATTAAACTGCAGGTAGAACAAGACTGCGTGTTATTCAAAAATTGGTAAGTGATCAAAAAAGTATTGATATGGAATGCCTGTTTGTCTTTGTTCTGGTTAAAAATCTCATAAAAATACATTCAACAGGAAAACATAAATTGTATGTGTATAAATATATAGGTATGTATATATTATATACACACGCACACAAATACTTTTTTTTTTTGAAGCAAAAGATAGTTACATAAATATTCCTATAATTGCTAAAGTTTAAAGAGGCATATTTTTTTTTGAGCTTCAACAAAGGTGCTTGAATAATATACAATTAAAATGAAGTAGTTTTCTATTTTGTAGAATCAGTATATAATAAGGAAAAAAAAAATCCCCAATCAGTCTTTTTAAAAAGAAAAGTTTCTTCTTAAGCTAGAGCTTCAACAACAACAAAAAGAAAAAAACCTGTGAACAACCAACAACCAAACGGAACGAAGCAACAGCAAACGACGACGCGGAGCCCTGGGCACAGCTGGCGCCTCCCGCCTTGGTGCCACCGGGCCTGGGGCAGCTCGGTGCTCGTGCCAGGAAAAGACTTTGGGTCCTGCTTACCTGCCGACTCTGCTAGCAACTGGCTGATTGGCTTGGAAGAGAACGAAAGCAGCAAAAAGTCTAACTGTAGATAATGCTTAACAACCCGCTTCGGAGAAATGTGGTCCTCACCTTTCTCTCGCTTCCTCGCTGCCCACCGCAACCGTGACCGGAGGGAAGGGACTGTGGCTTCAGACCTGGGATGGCTAGCGGAAGTTCTCTGTGCCGCTGAGGTGGCCTCGAGGTCACAAGGCCTTTGGCTTCCTGCTCGCCCGGGCCCGAGCTGCAACCCTGCAGGCTCCGTAGCAACAGGAAGAGCATCCTCCGGGCCCCGCCCTGCCGCTGCTGCCCGGGCCACGCTGACCAACGTCTTCCCGGCACCACCCTCCCCCCCGCATCCCCCACCGCACTCCTCCATCCCCACCCCCAAATATCTCTACCGCTATATTACAAGCAAATGTGTCTTAGCGACTTGGAAAACTTTGGTTCTAAGAAAACGCTTGGTCAGTCACCTCGAGGAAACGGAATGCTTGTGCTGCACCTGCTGCCGCCGCCGCCAGCCCATCCCAGTCCGTTCTCAGCCTGTACATCAAGTCACCGTCCGACACCACCCGCTAAGCAAGTGCACGAATTCTAGTTTACTTTTAAGAGCAGATCGGGTCGCTTCCGGCTTCTACCACCTCACCGGCTGGCCTCCCTCACACCGTCTGGTAGAACTTGTCCGCCTGGAGGTGGCTCTGCTTCTGCATGCTGTAGAAGCCGCTGAACCGGGCGTCCGGCTCGGCGATCCTGAGCATCCTCTGGGCGCCGTCCCCCGGGGCGCGGGCTCCTTTCTTGCAGTCCACAGACACCAGCTGGTTGCTTAGGGAAGAGGGCTGTGTGGCGACGGGAAGAAAAAGCACAGAGAATTAGCTGCTTTACGAATCCCAAGTTAACACAAACGTAGCCCCTAACTCAAGTGGGATAACAGCCTCACAGTAAGGATGTACGCTGATGGATGGGTGGAGCTTACATCGGTTCTGCTGCGGGCGGCCGCTTCATGAGGGCACTGTCTTTGCAGGTGAAACATCGATAACTTTTGCCAAATGGAGTGGACGAAGGAATTGGGAGTGGAGGTGGAGGGGGGTGTGTTTGGTGAAATTGGTGAGTGACTTGACTTTTCAAGTCCTTGAAGGCAGGCCAAGTACTTAAGAGGGTTGGAGAATGAGTGGAAGTTCCGACAGGCAGAGAATTCGGAAGCGCTCGGGCTGTAAACAGCCTGTGTCCTGACACAGCATGCGCCTAGCACACAGGCTGCGCCCAGTGGATTTTTGTCTAAAGAAAATCGCAGGTAGGATAACCATCTAATAGACTTAATTGGGAGGCGTTATCTAGATGGTAAGGTGGATAAAATAATTATTTAAGGACGCTTTAAATTCTTAAGATGGTTGTGATTTTTCTTCTTAGGGAAAAACTAAATGTAACAGGTAGAATTAAGGTTGGAAAGCATCACAATATATTTCCTTTAACAAAAACCAATTGTCTTGCCTTTTAAAATAGAGGCAGATTTGACAATAGATATAGGGTGTGCCCCCAAAATGTATACACACACTTTGAATAATTATGAAGGCAGGGTTTATTAAAATACATTTCATTTTCAAAACTGAGCTATCTGCTGTTAACGTGTATACATTTCTTGGGGACAGTTTGTATACTCTCCCTTGTCTAGTGTCACTTCACGCAATCTTATCTCTCCCTTTCTCTCTCTGCTCGCCTTGGACACGTCTCTCTGACCTTTGACTTCTGTCCCATAATCGCTAGCTAGCTCTCTTCCCGCCTCTCCTAACATCCCCTCCTTCCCTGGTGATTTCTCTCCCATTTCTAAGTTGACAGATCACTGAGAAACACCAGGTGACCAGCTTTTAATTCCTTATTTAAGGATTTAGGAACCAATCCAGGAAGTTGGGCCAGTCCCAGACACCTGATTGCTACAGCTTGATGTGCACGTGAGGCTACAAGAGCGAAGTAAAAATGTCGCTGGCTAATATAAAACACGTCCAACAATTCAAGGAAGCGGTAAGCCTGCAAGCTTTCCTAGTCTGACCCCTCAAGAGGCTGGGATGCGTGCAGGACCATACCTTAGTTGGCGTCCGGTACCAGCACAGCAGGGGGACCCACTGTTTCTTCTGGTTGATGAGCAGGAACGCGATGATGATGGAGAGACCGATCACCACGGGAACCACGACCGCGGCGATGCTGTCCAGCGAGGACTCCTCCGCCGCCGGGTGCCGCCTGTTGTTATCGCCGTAATCGACCTTGAGGTGACCCACGTCTAAGGAAAAGAAAAGGATTGTAAGATTTATTACACAGGATTTTAAAGCATTATTTTAATTACATTGCACACAGAAATCCAACATGAGTAAGGTCGAGTGTTGATCCGCAGAGCTCTCAGGGATGGAGGTGAAACGTATTCAGAGGTTAATAACGGCATGATGATACTCGTTCTAGGTAGTCAAGAAAATTCTTATGGCAACTTTAAAAGTGGCAAAAACTCAACTACTGAAACTATTTTAATATTAACACGTTGGCTTCTAACATTTAAAGGAAAAATATTAGCCCAGCTCTGTTTACTTGCAAGTAAGAGATTAGATAATGCATATTCTTGGACTTGCTAGGGAAATAGCTAAGACTAGTTACTAGAGTAACAGTAAAAATTAAGCTAGAGCCGGTGTTTTGGTCAGTATTCTGGTTTGCTGAGCTCTGAGCAAGAATGCCTTTTCATGCATTTGTTGAAAAGTCACCCGGCCGATTAGATCGTTTCCCTGCCTTGTTGTTAATGTGCTGCCCAGGGGACAACCGCTAGTTCTGCTTATCCGCCTGAGAGTCTGCCTGCTCCTTTTAACCGTCCCCGCAGTGAACACCGCAGCCAGAGGTGACAGGTTAAACACACACAGTCAGGAATACACGCTGGACGTTTCCTTTTGTTTCCAATAAACCACTGTAGTCAGTTTGTCTAAATGCATCAAAGACCAGGTTAGAGCAAAACGCAGGAAACAATCAGGAGGAGTTGCCCCTAAAATGTTCTGGAAACTCAGCTCGCGAAGTAGCACATTTTTGTGAAGTCAGGGTGTACAGTTTAAACGTCAGTTTTTAGGAACACACTTCTTTGTGTATGTGGGGGTTAGGAAGAGAACTTTCCTAATCATGTTAGCCTGCGTAGGGAGAAAGAATAAAGCCAAAGGTAAAAGTAACCATGAATCCATGTTTTAAAGAACAGCGAGTGAAAGGAATGGATTTTTGGCTTACCACATTTCAAATGATATTAGGAATATCTGTCACAAGATTTTTAGTAAAAAGCAAAACTTCGGCAAAAGGAATATGAAACTTCAACGAGGATCTGTTTACAAAATTCAATTCTTAAGTTCTGTTTGGATGCAAGCAGCAGGCCATAAATTTAGCTTTGAGCCTTCCTAGCAGCCAGAGCAAAATGGAAATAAAGTATAGTCATTAAGATTCATAGTTTCTGAATCTTGAAGATTCAAACCAATCTGTTGCTTACGAGAAGCCTAAGAATCCCTGCTACTGACATGTGAGAAAATTCCTATGTACTGCATAGACCCTCAACATATTATAGTGCAGAAGGCTGTTCTTATGACCAAGCCTAAGCACTAGTATCTACCGATTGAATGAGTACAAACACAACGCTAAAGCACCTCTCCGAGCAATTTCACCGTGTCCGGGAGGCTGGTCATCTGGCTTCATCTCAGCATCACTTAGAATATCTACTAGTAGAGTAACAGACCATTAATCTCTCAAGCAATAAATACTGCTGCTTCCAACACCTGTCATAAAAATTGCATAGCAAGGATTTTGAAAATGTCCTACTGAGTCATAGCTAAGAGCAAGTACATACTATTTGGATCCAGGGATCTGCTTTTACAGAGAAGGCCCTATTAACAGAAAGGCCGCCTTGCTTTACCCCTTACCTACTGAGAGACAGAGTGACATCTCTTATACACAGCTGCAAGGACAGAGCAAGGAAAGGCTAAAGCACAGAGTAAACCTGGCGACACACTGAACTCTGGTGGAGTGAGAACTACCCAGAAGCAGAGGGTAACCGAACGCACACAAGTGCTCAGTGCAGAACCCACGGGGACAGTGAGTGAGCGATGTCTGTTCACACTTGTAAATGCCACTGAGGGCTTAGACATTCCCCCTGGGCCGGGCACACACTTGTCTCATCATCGCTGAGTCTCTGACACGTGGGGCCAGGAGGAGGCAGTTCACCCGTGGCCTGCAGACTTACTTTATTATCCGGGTGTCAGGCGGGCTACAGCCAAGCAGGCCTTCTCTGGATCGGTTCTCTGAAGGCCGTTTTAGAAATGCAACGAGCCCGGCTGCACTGAAAGGCGGCCAGTTCGGTTCCCAGGCAGGGCACATGCCTGGTTTGGAGGTGCGATCCCTGGTTGGGACATGTACGGACGGCAACCAATGGATGTCTCTCTCCCTTCCTCTAAGCATGTTCTCAGGTGAAGAGTAAAAGTTTTAAGCGGATGATCCGTTAGACCAGACAGGCGCCCGCGGATTCCGACTCACCCCTGCGGAGATGGACGATGTCGTTCTCACTGGGTGTGGGCCTCCTGGGGACCTGCACGTCGGTCTGGCCGCGACGATTGACCTTCTCAATGGGCACGTTGGTTGGTTCCGGGACGTACATTTCTGAAAGACGGGACATTTCTCATCAGAGATGGAGGAGGGGCTACTGTTAACTGTTGTCTCTTCTGCCCAAGGGGATGGTGCACTCAGTTTCAATACAACACGTGGGGACGTGAAAGATGCGGTTTCTGCTCTGACATTATTGCTGGAGAGTCCCTGGCTTTGCAGGGGTGGGGAGCATGTCTTACAACCATTTAAAAGAAGGAGAAAAGAGTTTTCTCTATCAGGGTTAGACACTCTGTTTTTCATGGCCGACGGTGTTGACTATGGTTTTGTGCAAGCACTGGATTGGCTGGAATGAAGGATTGTTTTTACTTTCATCAGCTAAATATTGCACTCGAATAACTGTTGTTTTTTAAACCACGAGTGTTGAGTCATTTCCATGTCACAGGAAGTGAAAAAATAAAAGCTTTTCCCACTCTTTATGCATTTCTTAGCCATTCTCCCTCCTCTTCCCCCCCATGGGAATGCTCTGCTGTCACGTTTAAGTCTTAAACGTCTGCTGTGTTAGCACTGGAACCGAGGTTTTTGGTAAATGCATTTCCATCATATGGACACTTTGATCAATGACATACTACAAACATAAAACAAAATTCTCTGAGAAGAACATTCTTGTTCCCAAATATCAAACCTTTTTTCTTTTTTTTAAGTCAAAGGAAACAGTGAAAAAAGTCAAAGCTTATCTTGGCTCCTACAAATATTTTTATACATCCTTACCTCATCTGGCTAACCATCACCAGCACAACTTTCTAAATAATCCTTAAACTCTATTTTCAAAACTCAATGATAGAAGTCCCACATCATCATGTATGTCCTCCCATAATAAGCTTATTCAACAATGGTAATACTGAATACTAATCGCCTAGTTTGGTCCCAATATAAAATACATACAATACCTAAAGAGTTAATAATCCTCTCTGCTGAGTGGTCACTGTCTAGCACAAAGTTGCCGGCTTTCAGGAAGTAAGCCACAAGATGAAGTTGAGAAGGAAAAAGCGATAGAGAAGACAGCATCTGCTAAGCTTCCCCGGTGAGCTCCCTGAGTGCCCGCCAGGGAGGTGCCCCCGGCTGCCCGTCTGGGGACCGCAGAGCCCCGGCTGTCCCCGAGAACCAGGGCCCTGTGCCCTCCAATCCGACTCCGCTTTCTTCCTTACGTTACCAGGCCTCAGACATGGCAGGGCCTAGCCTATCATCCTTCCCAAAGGTTCAATGGGCCCTTGAAAGCTCTAGAAGACTCTAGAAATTAAGACGAGAATTTACTGAAAATGTCCCCATTCACAGAAGCGAGGGCCTCCAACGTTTCTGTCTGAATCATCCGAAAAGCTCACTCCGGTCCTTGTCTGGCAGGTCTGGGCTGTGTGCGGGGGAACAGTGTGTAGCGCCCCCCCCCCCCCCCCCCCCCCCCCCCCCGCTGAGAGACCCTGAGCTATGATGTGGAGTGAATATCCTGGAGGGATTTGGGGAGAAAATGACCTTGACATTCACATGGCATGTTTAGGGCGCACTGCACCCCTGAGCCCTCCCCTGCCCGGGCCAGCACAGCCTTGAACCTTTCTGTCCCTGCAGGCCAACCTGCCCTGCTTCCGAGGCCTCGGGGCGAGGCCCGCGGTGGGAGCTACTGCGCAGACCAGGATGCCCCCAGAGAGAGCAGGAGCTCTCAGAGGCCGAGCGGGGACCAGTGCGTCTCCCCTCGGGCTTTTCTGGTGAGAAGCACCTGTGGGATTCTGCCTCTACCTGTGGATTCCAACCGGGGACGGCTGTGTGCACTCTCCCCACAGGTGCTGAGAAAGGCGCTGCCCGGCAAAGGCAGGAGAGGGAGGAAGACCTGCCTGGGGTGAAGCGGGAGGTCCTACTGAGCGACAGACCATGTCACTGTGTCCTCCGAGGCAGACAGCGGGCTGGCCTGCGGGTTCGGCTGTGATCAAGGCCCGCCCTGCCCTCGGCCTCCCAGCCCCACAGCAGCTCTCGCCGCCAGAGCTCCCGGCCTCGCTCTCCGTCTGCCCACTGACCTCAGCCGGCTCCGTGAGAGCCCAGGCACACCCCTCTCCTGTTGTTACCACAAAGCCTCAACGCTCTAGTTCAGCCCTCAAGTCGCAGGAGAGAGAGCCATTTCCCTCCGATGCAAACTCACATCCCTCTCCCCTGCTGAAAAGCAGCAGGCGCTCCACTCAATGCGGAGAGCCAGCCAACTGCCTCTGAGCAGCTGGGCCAAAGAGGAGGCATTTCTCAGGAAAAACAAGCTGCTTGGGGAAACAGGAAGCCGGAATGCCGCTGTGTTTCCGGAAGGAGGGGCAGGACGAGGCGCAGGTACCTGGGCATATCGGGCAGCAGCTCCCTTCCACGTTGATGGGCTCCACGCAGGGCAGCGGTGGGCAGCTGACGGTGGAGCAGAGGGTCTGGCCCTGCAGGCAGTAGCAGTGCGTGCAGCTGTCTAGGTCCCAGCGCTCCTCGTCGGCGTAGGCCTTGCCGCCGAAGTGGCACACCACCCTCTTCGCGATGCTGTCCTCTAGGGGCGAGAACAGGGCACGTGGAGCGGCGCGAGGCGACAAAGCACCGTCCTCGTTATACCCAGAGGGGAACCGCTCCGAGCAGCCCCCACAGGCTGCAGGAGTTCCAGAATCCGGGGGTACTCCCGCTCCCCCAGGCCCCTCTGCCCCTCCCCTCCGCTCAGGAGGCCCTCGTGTGGCCTGAACCTGACCGTGGACCGCCGTGGCTACGGCATGGTGGTCGAGTCCAGCCGGCCGGGACTGACCCCGACCGGGGAGGGTCACCAGGCTGTCATCACACACACACCTTCAATCACGGTCCAGCTGCTGCACGTCCCCCCCCCCCCCCACACACCACACACACACACACACACATACACACACACGAGAACTGACCCAGAAGTAGGTAGACACACCCCCAGAGGTTTTATCCTATTTGGGAAGGTTTTTTTTTTTTTTAAAAGTCCAGCTGAGCATATTTATGCGACTAATTCAAGGAATGCCCACTTTCTGTTGATCTTTCTTGTAGATGGTTCAGGGGAGCAGTGAGGGATGGACGGGCGTGTCAGAGCGACCTGGCAGGGTCCCGGCTCGCCCACAGGGGACTCCTCCATCCCCAGGGGTGCCGATGGCGTCCTCCTCCCCAGCAGAGAGGTTTACCTTAAAAACCACTTCGTTCATTCCAACCCATTGCTCAGCAATGGATGGTTTCTAAGACCTACTTTTCTGTATGAGAACTTACTCTTTGCCCCTTCGTTCTCTTGCCGTCATCACTTCTCCCGCCCCCAACGTGCTCCTCCCGAGCTCCCTCCTCGGACACAGCGCCCCCTCCCGGCTTCCTGGCCTCCTGACGTCCTGGCGGTCACGCTGCCCTGGAGCTCAGCAGCACGGCCCAGGATCCCCGGGGGCGGCGGAGCGGAGACGGCACGTCCAGGGGGGCACCCGGGGGGGGGGGGCAGCCCTCGTCACTGACAGGCCAGTGACCAGGTGACGCCTCGGAACCTGGGCAACCTGATGCTCACGTTCTAGGAGTCTCCCATCCCGGGCTGCCAGAAGATGGAGCACTGTCCAGGAGCCGGGAGGAAGCTCCTGAGGAGCGGAGCGGTGTCTGGGGTCCGGGCTCTCTCTCTCTCTCGATGGGATCACGCTCACCGCCCGGACAGAGCCCGGAGCCCAGGGGGCCGGAGGTGCACGAGAGCTGTGCACCATGTGGTCCGGAGCCCGGTCCCTGCAGCAGGCGCCCTGCGGCGGGAGGCCCCTCTCTGCAGCTCGTGTTCAGGGCCCCGCCTTTGCCGGGGGGGGGGGGGGGGGACACGGAGGGCGGGGGGTCCCAGATGGACATGGTCCTGTTCTTGCCAATGGCTCCAGCACAGGTGGCTCCTTGTGGGCCAGACAGCACCCTGTGTCTGTAGACGCAGTCCCAGGCCCTCGGCAGGAGTGCAGGGGGAATCTACCTCTGGTGTTCACATGCATCACCTCCGTTTCTCTGCACCTCCCATTCCTTCCTCTCATTCCGAAGCCTTAAGGTACAACAAGGGTGTCAAGTAAGTCACAGGAAGTTCTAGCTGAAAGAAGACGTCTCTCCCAATGCCTACTAAAACATCTCACTGTGTTCGTCAGTGTCCCACTGAAGGCTTCCCGGTGCCCGCACGCTCAGTTCGAAAACGCATTTGCAGGCTTTCGGACCAAACCCGTGGCAGACGTGTTTGCTAACACGCAGCCCTCGGAGGAGGCACTCCGTGCAGATGTCCACAGCGCACGTGCCAAATGGCCGAGTCAAACCAATTAATGAACCCGATTCTGGTAACATTCTGACCGCCAGCCAGCTTCTCGTGGAGGGCATTCGATTCTCCAACCAACCTAGCGTCTTTCAAAAACAGAATTCTTTCTGGAAGAAAGCACTTCTTCTTAAAGTAACACTGCTGTTTTATGCAGAGCTTGGGGGGGTGGGGGGACGCCGCAGGCTCTAGGAACCCCAGGACCAGCATTCTCTGAGCTGACCTCCTTGAAGATGGGAGGTCAGCGGAGGCAGGTGGCCGGCAAGAGACACACCAGATGGTCCTGAAAGAGGATGTGGGTGCCAGGTCCTGCAGGGGAGAACTGGCATCTGCCGAGCACCCGCGGTGCCCAGGCGCTGGGCCGAGAGTGGCACGTGGGTCGGCCGCACGGGAACGGAAAAGGCTGTGCCTCCCACTCCTGGGCACCCGGTGTATGGGGGGGGGGATAGGGGGGTGACTCTATGCAGCACAGCCCGGAGCAGCGAACGCACGTAGCTGGCTCCAACTGCCCGCTGGGCCCATGGGCTCAGCATCAACGCCACCTAGAGTTTCTCTCCTCCCCTTCCTCCTCGCCCGGTCTCCAAAGGGCCCCGAGTGGGCAACTGCCCAGCCACCGGCACTTTCAGGCCACTGCACTGACTGTTAAGCCCAATGACGGGAGGATTCCTAATTCTGGCAAAACCCTGAACATTCTTAATCTTCTCCAGGGTGGTTCCGACGTGGCCCACTGCAAATGACAGTTAGTGAGGTTTTGGCTAAAAAGGGCCTTGCAGTACGATACCGCCTTGGACTACTACATCGCGCCCCAAAGGCAGAGGTGGAAACAGAGGCCTGGACGTCGAAGAGAAAGTTGGCCGCCGAAACCGGTTTGGCTCAGTGGATAGAGCGTCGGCCTGCGGACTGAAAGGTCCCGGGTTCGATTCCGGTCAAGGGCATGTACCTTGGTTGCGGGCACATCCCCAGTGGGGTGTGTGTGTGTGTGTGTGTGTGTGTGTGTGTGTGTGCGCGCGCGCGCGCAGGAGGCGGCTGATCGATGATTCTCTCTCATCATTGATGTTTCTAGTTCTCTATCCCTCTCTCTCTCTCTCTCTCTGTAAAAAAAAATAAAAAAAAATATTAAAAATAAAAGAGAAAAAGAAGAGGAAGTCGGCCAACAGAGCGTCCGGATGCGCCCACTCACACCCCCACACCCACACCCACACGCGTTTCATTCCTGGGCGCACCGCCGCCTTCCACGGCTCGTCTGGGTTTACCCACGGAAGCGGCCTGGAAGCTTGGGGAGCTGCCTCGTGTGCAGGGAGACACGGTGGCTTCCATGCACTTAGAGTCTAAATGATAAATTAGTAAAGCCACCGCCGTCTTTCTGGGGTGGGGTGGGGGCAGCAGAGTCTACCGGGCGGCACTCGGGCTGGACAGGGTGTAGAAACACACACACAGGAAGAGCGACTAAAAGTAACTGCTTTCTATTTGGCTATGACATGAGCTGTGCCATGGAACGCCGTTATATTTATCCCTTCAGCTGGCCTGCTTACTCAGACAACGGCCTGAGTCTTATTCTTTAACACGGTCACCGTGCCGAGCAGCTCACACGGCCCATTCCATTCGCTCTCAGCCCCAGGGACGGAATCAGTCCGAGCCCACACAGAACCGAGGGGCAGGGAGAGGACACCTCGTGGCCACGCTACGCGGCTGGGAAGGCGGGATGACCTCGGGAGGCCCCGTTCCCGGACCACTACTGTCAGGTTCCCACCCCCGCTCGCATGTGCTGGGTCTCGGGGTCTTTGTCTCCCGAGGTACGTTACCCTTCAGCTGACTGCTCCACCCCCTGGCCCAGGCCTGTGAGGAAGTGGAGACCAGGAAGGGGCCAGCTCGGACCCACGGTCCTTCTGGGCCAACCTCTATTTAAGAACCCTTTATCTCCGAGGAAGAGGAGGATATTTCCAGGAAAAGAGGAGTGACACCAATAAGGCTTATTTTTAAAACACAAACACAAACACACACACATACACACACACACACACACACACACACACACTGCTGCCTGTCTGCTCGCAGTTATATGTCCAATCAAACGTGGAGCTACAGGCACAGCCACGGCCTGCCCCAGCCTCACAGCCTCAGAACAGGAGTGGCGTTGCCTGCCCTGCCGAAGGCTGCAGTAAGAATGTGTGTGTGTGGGGCTGGGAGAACTCGGCGTTTGGCTTTTTCTTCTTTCCTTTTCCTCGAATCTGGTCAATACCAAAGGGGATGAGCAAGGGGCAAGGCCTTGAGATGCTAACTCCTTTCAAGCCCACATCTCCACCTGCCAAACTTCTCTCTCCGAGATGAGATAAGCGGCCGGAACAGGCCATCAGCTGGACTCTGCTTCTCCTCTGAGCTGTGGCACTAACGGCACTATGAACCCGATGAACGCCTGGGAGAGCCCAGAACCTAGAGATACGGTGCTTTCTTCCCTCGAACGATCCCGGCCAGGCCTCCAGGAGGCACCGAGGGGCGGCCCAGGCTGCTCTGCATCCACCCTGAGGAGAGGCTACATTCGCCCAGGAAAGGGGAGGGTCCCCAGCCGCCCCCTCCCCAGCCCCTTCCTCCGCGGAGAAGATAGCACCTCGCTCCGCTCGAGTCCATGTTACAGTTGGGCTCTCCCGCTTCTGCCAGGGCACAGCTCGGGGTACAGATGCTCCGGGTCTAAATGGGGCCGTGTCTGGGGGTGGGGGTCACGGGGTCGGTCTTGGCGGAGGAGTGACTTCCTGGGAGGAAGTCAGGGAACTTTAGAAAGGGCATCAGTCCTTTCACATCTCCAGCCGGCTATTTCCATCCCCATGGCCAAGGAACTAAAAGCAGCTCCCACTCTCAGAATAAGTCCCGGCATAAAATCACCCCACGCAGGGCAGGTGGCCGGGGAGCCGGCTCCCCCCGCACACAGCCGCAGAGAGCTTGCGGTCAGAGGCCTCTGCCCTCGGGAGAGGCTTCCCGACCAGGGGCTCCGCTTGCCCTGTGCGACGCCTGGAAAAGATGTGGGGATTGCAGGCCCTGCTAACACCATTGTACTTCAGTTTGGTTTCTTAAGTTGGAGGCTCCAGGGGCCAGAAGAAATCACGCAGGCAGGCATAACATGGGCCCGGGACCACCCCGGGGACATGAGATTAAGAAGAGGGAGTGGAAAGATCAGCCACCTCTCCCTAGAGACACGCTGACTTGGGCGAGAAAAGGGCAAGTACTTTTAAGAAGTTTGGCTTATAAACGGAACAATGTGCATTAAGGTGACCGAGCAGCCACGGCCCATTCAAGTTAAGAGTACGCAGGACGAGGCACACCACCAAAGCCTTATTTAAAGATCAAAGGCCCAGTGCATGAAATTTGTGCACTCGGGAGACGGGAAGGGGGAGGGGTCGGGAGGAGGAGGAGTCCCCCTCAGCCCAGCCTGCACCCTCTTGCAGTCCAGGAGCCCTTGGGGGAGTGTCTAACTGATGGCTTAGGCCTGCTCCCTGCAGCAGCCAGACATCCCACCACCGCCACTGCACTCGCCAGCCATGAGCCGGGATTCTGGCTGAGTGGAACTCCCCCTGTGAGAGCGTGCTGACCACCAGGGGGCAGCTCCTGTGCTGAGTCTCTCCCCGCTGGTGGTCAGTGCACATCGTAGCAACTGGTCATTCTTCCGTTTGGTCAATTTGCATATTAGCCTTTTATTACATAGGATGTCCTCATCCTACACACGCTTGTCACTGGGATGCTCTGTCCAGGCATTTCTCCTCTACTTAATGTGGAAAATCAGACTCTGCCTGATGCCCGTCACTCACAGCCGCTGCGCCTATGTCCGGGGAGCTGTGACTGTCCACACGGCGCCTGCCACTCACCACGCTGTTCGCCGTGTGGATGACTGTGCGGCGCAGGACGCTGAGTCAGGTCGCGGACATGCAGCTGGAAGGTGCCCGAGGAGGTGCCTCATGCACCCCTTGGCTCCAAAGTAAGTTCCCTTCCCCACACACGTTATTCACCTTAAGAAGACACGTTGGGGACACAGCTGTGAAGACTCTTCCAATGGATATGCCAGCCTAACAACCCTGTGTAATTCCACGGGTTGTGTGCGTTAGGGATGCAATCAAATAGTACTTACTAGGTTTGGTTCCTGGGCTGAATTAAACACCCAATGAATGACCAACAGATGTTCCCGAGAGACACTATATGTATCTATCTCCAGACAAAGATACCTAAACGAATCAACAAATCTGAGCAGAAATGAGTGCTGCATAACAAGACTGGAGAGCGAGGGCAGACACTGCCTCCGTCAAGGAGAAATGTTATCCACCATTCGCTGGTTGAAGATCACGATGGTATTATAAGCCATTAGACAAAGCCGTTCACTTCACACGAAATTAATCTTCAGTCCTATTAATTGTGCCCGTGTCACACATCCTACCGAATCAGCACGCACAGTGCGGGGCCTCCACTCCTCAGAGAGGCACCATCACTGCCCATTAGCGACTTGATGATTTCGTTGAAAGGAACACAAAACTCATAATGACTCCGCTTTTACAGGAGGAGAAAGGAACACCTCACAGGGTGGCAGCAAGCATGCTTCTGTGTAGGGGTTCCATCACCAAAAAAAGAAAAGAAAAAAAAAGAAAAAGAAAAGAAAGAAAGAAATCTAAGTAAAGGCAGGTTTGAGGCGCTCCGCGATCTCTGGCTCACTGATTAGGGAGGAGTGTGCAGCCACGGGGGCCAGCAGGCTGGGGGAAGCATGTGGGACCTGGGAGCAGATGATCCGGGTTAGGAGGAGCTGGGCTCAGCCTGAGACAGCCTAGGACGGGAGTCAGTGCCGGTGCTGGTCCCCCGGAGCCGCCTGGAGGAGTGGCCGGTGCTCTGAGACATGCAAAGCCATGGCTTCCCACGTTTCCCTCTGCGAGGTGCCCTCTGAAGGCGGACGCAGGCTTTGCCACGGCGGCACGGGAACTGCCTGCAGGCGTGCTGGTGCCGGAGGCTCGGTGCCCTCCGTACAGAGAGAAGAGAACAAGCTAAGAGAACAAGCCTGGGGAGAGGGAGGGCGCAGCTGGGAGCCAGAAAATCCCACCCCACAGGCCAGAACCGAACCTGACTTCGCACGCTCGGACACCAGGGGCGAGGAAGGCTCAAAGCTAACGTGACCGGGCGACCTGCAAAGTATGACGACGGCCGAAGGGAAGGCGTGACTGTTCCAGTAACGAAACGATGCGTGAAGCGTTTGGGGGAATGCGTGGACAGCAGCACGCAGCACGCTCAGCAAATGGTACATGTCCCCCAAAGCGTGCCCCCGAACAGAAGCCTCAGTTCACGTGGTACAATGACACGCGTGTCAGAAAGGAGCAGGGGCCGCTGTGGAGGGAGATGTCAGAGACACACCGTTTCCAGCACACAACTGTGAGCACATCTGAACCACCGTTTAGTAAAAGCGCCTGCACCTGACCTTAAAATCAAAACCACAACGTGAACCAGATTGTTGTTATCCTCTCCATACTAAAGAAAAACGTACAGTCTAAATGAGGCATAAGTTGAAATAGGAAATATAAAAAAAAAAAAAAAAAAAAAAAAAAAAAAGGACAAGGACACCACATTATGACTTACAGGCATCTTATCGTATGTTTGAGTTTGTTAAACTGGTTTTGTGAGAAAGAAACGATGTACTATCCTCATTCAGAAAGAAATTGACCTGCTGAGCAACTTACTCATCACAGATTTACCCGCTAAGTGGCACACCACCACAGGAGCTTTTACCTAAACCAAAGAAACTGCAAACACAGGCAAGATCCGCCCCCCCGAAGGGAACACGCAATTCCCGGCGCCCTGGGCTCGTTCCCCGAGGGTGATGCCAGCACCCGGTGGATGCGTGAATCCTTCTCTCAGGACCGACTTTCCGATGTTTCAATGTGGGGACACGGGCTGTCCCTCTGCCCCTCCCGGCCCTGGCCTGGCACAGCGGCCTAGGCATCGTTCGATTTAGACCTCAGCAATGGCAGCGCTATTTTCCGTAGGAATTTTGGGCTGCCCTGTGGAGAGGTGAGGAGCACCGAGTTGGATGCATGCCTTGGTACATTCTTGGCTCCACTGAGGAGCTACAAAGCCCGCGGGTATTGCAGCTGAGCCCAAGGTCGCAGTGATGAGAAGGTAGGGCAGTCACATGTCCCCATCTGCTTGGGTCACGCCTGGTCCACGGCTGTTGCCCCATCACACAGTATGAACAGACCCCCTTGCACTCTCAAAGGCACCATGGTTAGAAGAATAAATGACAGAGATGGTCACCCTGTCAAGAGAACCCAGCTTTCAAACATACATTGAAATACGCCCTGACCATGACGCGGAACAGTCCTGAGAGTGGAAGTTTCGTTTTTAGAACATCTTTCCCTCTCTTGTACTCCAACATGCAGAATAGGACTCAGAGCAAGCGGCCCTCCGGCCACAGCCCCAACGGAGAGGGAGCGACCCGATGAGCTCTGTCAGGGCCTGAGTGTCACTCCTGGGCTCACCCGTGCGAACTGCTACAAAGCCCCGCGGCTAGATCCCTCCCCCTCAGACATCACCCCAAAAAACGTGCAGTGACTTGTTTCTAGAAAACACACGGAAATCTCCAACGAGAGCGTGCACCATGCCTGCGATTAACACAGCACCTCCTTCCCCCCCGCTACTCTGCCACAGGGGCACCACTGGGTGGCCACACGCCATGTCTCCCACGTGACTTCGTGAGCTTTCCTTGGCACAAAAGCATAAAGGGGAGCGAGAGCCTTGGGGGGAGGGCTGGCCTCTGTCAGAGCTGCAGCACTGGCTTGTGTCCGGAGGACAGGCTTTGGTACGGACGTCAGGGGCTAACATACGTGTGTTCTCTGCTCAGAGCTGTCTCCCCGGGGCACTGGGAGGTGAGGGCTCTGTCAGCTACCAGGCCCCCCCTGTGTCCCTGGGCCCTGAAGATGGACAACTGTGCGGCTGAAGTGGAACCCAATTAAGTGTCGGCAGACAGAGGAGACAACTGGGAGGCGAGTCGGCATTTTGCAGGTGGTGACCTGAAGGCGGGGGCAAGCTTTATGCGGTGAGCGTGCTGGAACGAGACGGGGGTTGGTGGTGGGGGATTCCACGTGAGACAAAAGGCCGCCGTGGAGGCCGGAGGAGGAAGACAGCAGGGCCTGGGGAAGTTGGCAATGGCCACGCAGCCCGACAGACAGGACAGGCCCGCGCGGCACCGTCAGGACGTCCTGAGGCCTCTGATCGTGAGGAAGGCCTCGCCCGGGAGCACGTTTTCCCGCCTGACGGGGCTCCTCGGACCGTGTGGCCGGCAGCCAGACACCGGAGCCCACAAGCAGGAGCGGACCCAGGCAGGGCCGTGGCCGCAGACGCAGGGGCCCCGAGGAGCCCGAGGAGGGGCTCTGGCCGGGTCTTACCGATGCAGTAGGGACAGCACTGGCCCTTCCGCAGAACGGGCCGCTCGCAGGACACGGCCGGGCAGGACTCGGAGAAGCAGCTGATGAGGCTGTTCATGCAGACGCAGCTGGTGCACACGTCCGGCTTCCAGGACTCAGCGGCCAGGAACATGGCGCCCTCCTCGTTCCGGCAGTAGCTGGGCTCGCTGTCGTTGCGGGACGGCGAGGGCTGCAGGGGCGCGTCTGGAAGAAAGGACGGGAGGTCAGCGGGGAAGGGGCGGAGGCCCCGGGGCCCACGCCTGTGCGCCGCCGTCCTTAAAAGTGTCGCAGACACATCTGGACATAAATTCCTGATCGCCAGTGAAGACGCCACTCCAAGTCGTCTCTACCAGGAGGACGGGAGGAGTCAGGGTTCTGAGTGAACGCAGAATCCTGGGCGGAATTTACCTCTGAGCAGAAGAGGGATAATGGTGAAAGCTGGGTAGGGACTGGGCCGTACATACCCTAACTATGGAGTACACAGGAACTCCTTCTTATACCAGAAAAGATGAATTAAAACATTAATTAAAAAATTAAGCTTCTCAGATGACCACGGCTGCTAACTGCACGGGAGGTCTTGTACTGAGACGGTCACACCTCGGCAGCCGTGCGTGCCGACAACAGGGAGTGCGTGGCTATTCCTGCGAGTCCCCCTCCCTCCCGAGGCAATTCACACAGAGCATCAGCGTGAGCCCCGAGGGGCGGGCGCTGGCGGGCCGGATGGAAGACAGAACGCTGGACTTCGGCCAGCCCACAGGAGATCCGATGTAAAGAGAAGCAGTGAAATGCAAGAGTAGATGTTTTACTGGGCAGAATATACATTTAGAAGGTAAATGGTTACTGACTGAAGTTGAAAAGATAAAAGATTAAGCAACAACAAAATAAAAATAGTGAGCCGTCAACGTGGTAATTTTATATACAACTATTTAAATGTCTTTTGGGGGAAAAGTCATATGGTCTAGCATTCTTTTGGAAGATAGTCATACATTCTAGTGTTAACTAAAGTGCTGCTCTAGTTACAAACCAGTAACTTATGTTTTAAGATCCTGACAACATGTGATTACATTCGTTCCAGGACCATCAATTCACCTGCGAAGGCCGGAGCATCCGAGAGCGAGAAGAAAGCAATACTGCTCTTGGCACAGGCCACGCCAGCCACGGTGGATCTTACGTTATCCATCAGAACAGGTGGGAGGGGGCGGGCGTTACGTGTGTTCTGTGACTCCCCTGTTCGACGTTCTCCAAGTGCCCTCCCCACCCTTCCACCCTTCAGAGAATTTTATTGGTATTACTCAGCCATGTGTGAAAGGCCAAGATGGCTTTTCACATTAACGGAATCATTTGGAATAACTAACTGGTGCGGCAGGACCATCTCCTGAGTCTGTGACGCGGGGTTAAAGGAATGAATGGAGGGAAAGGCTCCTGTTTCTACGTCACCTCAGGTACAAGGCATATTGAATTCATAACTGTGTGGTCTAGGAGGGGATGGATTTATTTTATTTTAAATTTACCTTTATTGTTTAAGTCCTCCCCCCCTCCCCCCAGCCCCTGCCCGGCTCGATGAATCCCTCCTTCCCACCCCCCACCTTCCCCAGGCCTTCCCCCCCCCACTGTCTGTGCCACGGGCTATGCATCCAGGCACGTAAGGTCATTGGTTAATCTCCCTCCACCCCTTCCCTCTGACACGCGTCTGTTGCGTGCTTCCGCGTCCCTGGATCTTCCTTGTTCACAGTGTACGTACTTTGCTCATTAGGCTTAGAGGGGATGAGTGTAGAAAGCAGGCTGCCAAGGCTTCGTGCCTGGGTTACAGGCGACTGGCTTTGGGACCCTCCCACGTGGGCTCGGCCTGTGGACCTGCACAGCGACCGTGCCTGAGCCGCCGCCTTCCCGCCCCGCGGCCCGGGGCCCCGCGGGTACCTGTACACTGCGGGCAGCAGGAGTCCTGGGTGCGGGAGGGGTTCTGGCAGAGCAGCGGCGGGCACACCTCCGTCTCGCACATGACCCGCCCGCTGTGGCAGGTGCACTGCGTGCAGGAGTCTATGTTCCACGTCTCTCCTTCCACAAAGTACTCTCCGCCGGGGGCGTGGCAGATGGAGGGGGCGCTGAGCTCAGGCTTCTGCTCCACCAGGTCATCTGGGGGAGGGACACAGCACCCAAGCACAGGAAGTTACTCACCAGCAGCCACACCAGCGCCCGAGAGCCTGGTGCCGCGTGACTGAAGGGACAGAGGACGGACTGACTGTGAAATACCGCCCTCCGCCCTTCCTGAGAGCAGAGTGAAGAGTCTGTGCACAGCAATAGACGTAAGGCAGCAGCAGGAGGGGTAGTTTCAGGAAGGGAGACTCAAGTGGCCTGAGTTTAAAAACAACGACCAGCCCTGGCAGGGTAGCTGTTGGTTCGAGCGTCGTTCCAATACATCAAACTGGGGATTCGATCTCCATCAGGGCGCATGGAAGAAGCCACCAATGAATGCATAACATATATATAAGGGGAACCACACATCGGTGGTTCTCTCTCTTTCCCTCCCTCTCAAATCAATAAATTAAAAAATTAAAAACAACAACAAGGGAATCCAACAAGAGAATTAAGTTATAGGCGCGCACTCCGACCACAGGAAGGAGAACCAGAGCCTCAGGGGAGCTCTGTGGATGTGCAGGACTGTCCAGAATGAAGGTGTTTTTCTGTCCCTGAGCGCCAGCTCTGGTCCAACTGCCATGAACATGCTCTCTCTACATGTGTCAGTTCACTTCTTCACATCGGCCTGGCAAGGAAGCTGCGGGCTCAGACAAGGGATCGGAACCTAAGTCTACCATCTGGATCACGGCTAGGCCTCCAGGTAAAACACAATTTCCAACTGCTCCGTCCTCTGCATTGTCCCCGGGACCCCGAGCACGCTGGTGCCTGGAAACGCAGCCTGCTGCTGAGCCGGCCGCTCCCCGGCCTACATCCACCGCCAGCGACCGAGCAGGAATGCTCTGCAGAGTCAATGGTCTGGAAACCCTCACCTAAGTGAAGAACCACTTTTGGGGGCAATAGCATCATCAGGAGAGGAGAGTGCGCAGAGGCAGTGATCGCTCCGATTCCTTCTCCGGCTCTGACCCCTTGATGAGGTGATAATGACGGAGAGGGAATGTAATGTTGCAAATACCTAGGAGGTACTGGGAGTTGCCTGAGGTTGTGCTGAGGAAACGAGACGTGTGAAGACATGAGCCGCATTCGTGTGATCCAAACACAACAAGCTCTCAAGGAGGTGCTGACAGGGCCGAACCCCGCGGAGCGGCAGGCTGGAGACGCCGGCGGGCTCACGCCTGGAGCTCAGCGCAGGCCGGGCCCCGGGAGGACGCCCTGTCTGTGCGGACGCTCGGAGCTGAGTCACCCCCGAGCTCACAGGCTGTCCGTGTCAAAGGAGCGGCCAGCAACCGTGCCCGCGGACGAGAGACATGGCGGGGACTGAGCTGCAGCCGAGGAGGTCCCTCTCCCCTGGGCTCCGTCTCAAGGGAACTGGAGAGGATGGAACTTGGACTGGGTGGCATGGAACAGAGACCTGCCAGCAGCCAGGGGTTATATTCCTAAGCCACTGGGCCACATAATGTAGAAGGCGAGAGGAAGGCAAGAATGAAAGCTGGCTGGGGCGGGAGGACAAAGGGCCCTTCTCGTGGTTTACAGAGAAAATGAGATTCTGTTCCAAAAAGCGTCAATACACTGATGCTGGGAGTTTGGCGGGCTCTCCGCTGGGTCTCATTTGCTAACAACGCCCTTAGGTCTGTGTACGTGCTATGCACATCGAGGCACGGCATGCGAGTGGCACAGAGATGGAGCTGAAGGAGAAATGGAAGGTAAGGGTGAGAAGGAAAGCTACCACCAAGAAACAGTATATTTGGGGAAATCTCCCATCGGAAGGGTTTCGGTCTGCTCACTGAGCCCAGAAAGAAAAGTAGCCGATCCTGGAATGGAAGAGGGAAGAAGATATTCTTTGGAGGAGGAGACCATGAAGGCAACCAACCATTCTGGGTCTCTAGTCAGAAGAATCCATATGTGGCAAAGGTAAAAATCCACCAGGGTAAAGGTATTTGGGAAAAATACACCTACATATCCATAGACAGAAAGGGGTGGGCAAAGGCAGGTCTACGGTTGTGAGTATGCAAGGTTTTATGCGTGTATTATTACTTATGAGTGTATTATTTATCGGCATTATGTAAACAAACTTTTACCCACCCCTGTCTATCAATGCGCACGTGTTTTTACTAGCACACATGCACCCACAGGAAGGAACTCGGTGTGTGTGTGCATTAGCACTCTGCAGACCTCAGTAACAGAGAAAACCAGTGCTGGTCCCACCAATGCTCTGTGCTAGATGAGCACTGTCCTCAGACTGCCTGCGTTTGCTCCGGCCGGACTCGCTGAGCCATGTCCAGCAGAGACCCAGGTGCGGCCGCACGCCACACACACGTGCCCATGAGGAAAGCAAGGGGTCTGCACGGGAAGGCCTTTTCCTTCCCCCGAGAGGCAACTCGGAGGTCTGTGTCAGCAAACTGCTCACTGACCTTCCGGAAGATGCCTGGAGCTCTTTGGACAGAAGGCACTAGATGAAGCGTCATGGCAATGACGGCCGGTACTGATAACCCGTAATTCGGACCCCTAGGAGCCAGAATCCCTTCTGCGCTTCTGCTAACTTGTCTTGATGAGCGTTACTATCTTTTCAATGTTCCTGATGTGCGGTCACTGAATTTCTCCATTTGGCAAGCATGCCACATACCCATTCATTTATTTTTCTCCCCCTCCCCTACCCCCATCCATTACTTTATAAAAGAGCAATAGCTGTGGACTTGAATAATCCTCTCCACCTCCAGTATTACTTTAGTAAATAATAAGCTTTTATGGAACACAATTAGCACCAATCTCTTCCAACTAACTAAGACTTCAGCCTTAATCCGCGCTCCGTAAGACGGAGCGCTGGAATGGGAGAAGTGCACAGGCCCATGGAGTTCAGAGACCACTGCCACGGAGCAAGCCGTTCAGAAACGAGAGCTAGAGCTTTATAGACTTATCTCTGGTCTCCGGCCGAGCGGTCACAGCACCGGCTGACGCTGTGCCTGCGGCTGACCAGAACCATGGAGCGCTGACCCGTGTCGCAGGCCGTGCCCTGTGCCGTGCACCTTCCCCGACCCCAGCACAGAGATGAGGTGACCCGTCGGGAGCACACCGGCCGGCGGCCGGCTCTTACCGGAGCAGGACGGGCAGCACTGCCCCGGGTGGATGGTGGGGCTGCCGCAGGCGGGCACCGGGCAGGTGATGAGTGCGCACATCTCCCGGCCGTGGTGGCAGTAGCACTCCCGGCACCCGTCGTGCCAGCTCTCCTCGTTCTTGTGGTGATGGCCGTCCATGGACAGGCACGTGCCGGACAGGGCCGGGGCGGTGGGTGACGCGGGGCCCTCTGCAGGGACACAGGGTGGCCTTGGTAAGGACACGGCAGCCGCACCGGCGGACTGCCTGGCCACCCGACGCCCGTCAGTGCACTCAGGAAAAGGCTTTAGTGAACATGTCCACAATTTTGAAAAAAATAAGCAACCAAAAACCTGCAAGCGTATTTTGGCCCTATTTGCGGGATTACAGATGAGTTTTTACTTCTTTCATTCAACTTCCTCGTTTTTATACAACAAACAGCATGGATGGCACAGCAAACGCCGCCCGTATGTGTAATGCGTGCAGACGTCACCCGGGGGGGGGGGGGGGGGGAACCCCGAGCCCCTGGCAGCTGGTGGGCTTGGTCAGCAGCAGAGTCAAAGCAGGGACTAGATTTCTGTTCACTCAGACCCCTGGAAACACCATGAAGGTGGTTACTGTCCAACTCTGAAAACACGGAACGGGAGAGATCTTCCGTTGCTTCATCTGTGGGTCATGCTGACAACTAACACCCAGTGGGGAGGGGATGGAGAGGGCAGCGGGGCTGCAGGTAGGGGGAGGGCGGGAATGGTGCCTAGGCTCGCGAGCCGCAGTTTGCTGACCACTGGCCTAGGCGATGCTCAGTGGCTCAGGGCCAGCCCTGGGGCGGGAGGGAGTCCCAGACCCCAGGTCCCCGTGATTCGTGCCTGTAACCACGACAGGCCGGCGGCGTGTGCTTACGCAGCAAAAATCTAAGTTTTCATGGAAACGACGAGAGGGTTCTGACAAGGGATCTTTGCCGCCTCAACTGGATCCATCCACTGTGGACGGAGGGAGACCTCGGAGGTCAAGCTCCAGGTGCTTCAGGCTGAAGCCCCGAGTCAAGTAAGCCTGGAGAGCTCAGCAGTGGTCCCCTCGGCCGATGGGCCCGCCCTCTGTGCTCGCTCTAAATCCTATGGTGAGCTTTTCCTCTGGGACGGTGGCAGGACAAGGGGAGGTCCCGCAGAGAGGGCACCGTGTCTGTGCAGATGGCAATCACCGAGCCTGTGCCATCTGCACGGCGCCCTCCTGCCCCGGCCGCCGAGGGGGGGAGGGCTGCGCGGTCGGTCGCACCTACCTCGGCACCTGCAGGTGAGGCAGCCGCGGCTGTCGTTCTGGAACCCTGAGAGGCAGGTGTGGTTGCACGGGAGCTCCGGGCACTTCCTGCAGCGGCAGATGTCACAGCCGTGCTTATTCTTCCTGGTAACGACAACGTGGTCAGGGGTCAGAAACATCCCCCGTCCGGAGCGATGCCCGAGCACGCACACCGAGGGTGGGGGACGCGAGATCATTCCTGAGCGGGAGGACCTGACTTCTGCTCTCGAAAGCCCCTGGAGCGGCTGCGAGGAGCCCCCTGCGGCCGCCAGCACGCCGGCCCCGGCTCGGGGTGTCGGTGTCGTAACCCCAGTCACAGGGCTGTCCATCGGACCAGCGGCAGTGGCACCGCTGCGACACAGGCTGCATGTGCAACCCCTTGAGCAGCACAGCGAGGACGCGCTGCCGGTCGGGGTTGGAGGCCGGCGGAGGGGGCAAAGGTCCCTCTTTGGCAAGGGCCACGGGCTTCCTCCCGCGGCCACGGTCCCTGAGACGCTGCAGCAAAACTGCCCCGAGAGCCCTCCTCATGGACACTGGGGAAGGCGGAGGCGGGAGGGTCCGCAGGGCTGGACGGGGACACCGGTGCCGGCGGGAACAGGAGCCCCGAGGCCCCGCCGGCCGAGTCCCGGAGCCGCTCCGGGCAGCAGCGCCCGTGGGAGGCAGTGCCGCCCGTGGGGGTGGCAGAAGCACGTGGGGCAAAGGAAAAGGCCGAGAAGCGTTTTTCCCCTTAACAAGCTGGAGCGCCTACGTCTGTGCTGACTGGAAAGATGGTTGTTAAATACACGATATACGTGTATCAGCGTTATCACACAAAGTGGAGAGTTTTCTGGGCGAATAATTCTCACCAATAATTCCTTTTTTTTTTTTTCCCCCTGAAGGAGAGGAGGATACTGACTGTTACAGAAGGAGCTTTCCCTCTCTGCCGTCAGGCCCCGCATCTCACCCACAGGAGGTACCCTGTTTACCCTCGGGGCTCATCCCAATTGGCCCCAAGTGGAAAAAATAGTGTTCAACTTAAAAAAAAAAAATTCCCGAGGAATAAACAATGAAGGGAGCCCTAACCAATTTAGCTCACTGGCCTGGAGACTGAAGGGTCTCAGGTTTGATTCCAGTCAAGGGCATGTACCTTGGTTGCGAGCACATCCCCCTGCAAGAGGCAGCTGATCGATGATTCTCTCTCATTGATGTTCTACCTCTCTATCCCTCTCCCTTCCTCTCAGTAAAAAATTAAAAAAAAAAAAATTCCCATTCTCATTCTGGGCCAAGGAAGGGGCTCTCCAACCAGATGGCCCTACGGGCACACCGGGCACACCCCCGGGGCTTACCGCCGCCAGAGGGACAATCACATTGCGATGTCCTGGGCGAGGCAGTCTGCTTGATTACTCCACCCAGCGAGGACAACGGATTAAATGAATTATTCATATCCGTGTCACACGCTGTGTCATTTCAAGGCCTGCCGAGGCTCTAACGGATTTGTTTGCTCACTCCCTCATTCATCCTCGGCCGGCTCCTTCCTCCCTCCGTTCTGTAAGCACTAAGGTGCCGGCGTGATCACCGGAGCACCAATGCTGTCCTCATTCTAACACCCTCCCACCCCCCTGCCATGGTGTCAGGCAGGGTTTCTCCTTCAGAGCCTGTCCTTGCGACACAGCTCCTCTTCTGGCTGAAGGGGAACACATCGTCCACGTGGTCAACTTGGTCCTCCCGGGTGTGCTGACCGACAGGAAGACCAAGGGACGTCTCTAAGCCTCTAGGATGGAGGCTCCGCTTGAGTGCAGCCTTGACCCTGGACTGCCCCAGCCCTGCGCCCAGTCGCTGCAGCATATAACAATGCTCTGCTCTACATCAGCAGCGAAGCTACGGAATCCCGTGCCTGTTATTGGTATCCGATTCCTACTTTAGGATTGAGGACAACGATGATGAGTTCACTGGGGGAATTTTTAAGAAGAGTGTTCCCAACTCAGGCATTTACACTGAGCATGAAGGTTCCTCACCTCCTTGCTAAGCTAGAACTTCCAAGAAGAATAAAAGTGATGACGTTTATAAGATGGGCAAGATACGAAGGCTCTACGTCCCGTAGTAGTGGTACTGTATAAGTACTATATAAATGTATCCAATCGAAAAGGGAGAAAGACTAAGCGGAAGGGAACCGAGGAGAGATGAAAAGGTAACAACATCCTGGAAGGAAATTTTTAAAGGGACCAACTTGCTATAAAGGCAGAAACAGATGCCAAGCCGGACACTAAGGAACAAATGTGGAGTGTCTATCTCCCCCGCCCGGGAATAAGCTGATTTCACAGGGTTTGGCTCAATCAAAAAGTATTTGAAAATACAAGTCACGACCCTCAGGTTCAAAAAATTCACAAAACCTACTGCTAGAGAGAGAGAAAAAGCATCGTGAACTGTAGCCTAGTACCAAAGCCAGCTACGGAGGCGTGGCAGGTGGTGCAGATGGTTCCTGCCGGCCGGCCTCCGGATGGGTTAAACCGGCATCCCCACCGAGTCCCCGGGCGGCTGTGTCCCTGGGGGTCCGAGGGCCGTGCCAGGGCGAGGTCGCCCGTAACAGGCCCCCGGGCAGCGTGCTCACAAGGACGCCTTCATAAAAGGGAAGCGTGAACTTGACTCTCATCGGGGGTGGGGGGGGGGACGACACACACACACACACACACACACACACACACACACACACACACCCCCCCGGCCCAGCCCTCCTTCCCGATCCTCCCGACAAAAGCAGCACAGACCTCTGGCGGGGTCCGCAGCGATTCCGTCGCAGACACACGGAACCGCCGCCACACACGGGCACGTACCGTGTGTGTCACCAAGTCGTGTGTGTGTTTCCCCCCCCCCCCCCCCCGTTCAGAGCAATACGTACAGGTATCCGAACGGGCAGCTCCGGTCGCAGGAGGTGGGCCGGCACTTCCTGGGCCGGGGGCGGCAGCGGCAGATCTCGCAGCCGTGGGCGTCCGTCAGGAGGCCGAAGGGGCAGTCCAGCGTGCAGCCGCGCAGCAGGCCCCAGCACAGCTCCTGCCCTGCGGACACACAGCGGGGCCTTCCAGAGAGGCTCCTTCCCGGGGGGCCCGGCCACCCGCCTGCCCCCCTCTGCACCCGGCCCACCCGCCACCGTCAGGCAGGGCTGACCCACAGGGCGGACTGCCCGTGGCCAGCACCGCAGCCCCACGCTCTGCTCTGCCACAGCATGTCCTGGGCGACGTGGGAGATGCGCGATGGAACACGATTCCCACCTACACAAGCACCTATGTCCCGCACGTGGACACACACACACAGCAATGAACGGAAACAGTAAGACAATTTAAAAGAAAAATAACAATTCCTGACTTTTACTTACTGGTAGTAAGTAAATAATAAAAAACAGAAAGCATATATATTCCTATGTCAAAATGACGGAATTTTTTTTTTTAAATAAATAAATGGGAGATGGCCACGTAACCACAAAACGATGTAGGTAGGGTCCGATGTAACCCAAGGACGGCCTGCATAGACAAAATGCAGCCCGACCCTGGAAGCCAGATGGCTGAAGCATATCCTTCCCGGGCGTGGAGGAACAGGCTGGTGATCTGAGGGCCGTGCGGAAAAATCACCGAGCAAATATTTTCATGAAACTTGATCTTATTAATCGCCTCTCACTGCTGATTACCATTCATTGGTCAAATATGAGAATTAGAAACTTACACCTGAAATTTCATTATATATTTTGTTGCTACTGTATGACCGTCATCATGTGCACTCTTAAACAGTCACACATTTACTCTGACAAATTATCACACAATTCTGCCTATGATGGACCCTTTTCTTTACAATATGACAAAATATTGCGCTTAGCTGTTCTTCTCCACTCCTGCTGCACATCCAGGTATTTGGAGACACTCAGTTAAATGACTAAAACAGACGTGTGCCAAAGGACTATCCAGATTAAGGGGTAACTCTTTGCTGTTTGAAATGTTCAAAGTGTCCCCTATTGGTCAGTTTTAACTTCGTTTAGAGGGGGGAGGGGGGGGGAAGCAATGGCGATTGGCAGGAGAAACTACTACAGACATTAGCTTAGGAAAAGTATTCTAAAAAGGCTGTAAAAGGTCTGATACAAAGATTAACAGTATAATACAGAGGCTATAAATGTGAAGGTGAAAAGGCCTTCACATTTATATGGTGAAGGAATGAAGCCAGCTGAGACCTGTCTGAATTGACGGGGGAATCTGAGCGGTAGCAAATGTCTGGGGGCATTTGATTACGGTTCTGCACGGATCAGTAAGATGGGAAGCAGAGACGATTTATCGATGAGATAATAAATTAATCTTTATTGTATCGGGACATCCTCTAAGCCCAAATATTGTAAATAACGCACACATTACTAGGAAAAACAGAGCACCTTACTCTCTTCCACACACAAATCTCCTAAAATTAAACCTAAACTACAATTAATAGGTGAAATGAGCTCATGTTTTCACACAAGTGTTTTACGACAGCATCTTTCATGAATCTGAGCTGGCGATACACGAACGTTCCATTTGCTATCTTTTAAAAAGGGAAGTGTGATTTATGGTATAATTTTCTACTTTGTCATGATCATAAACCTCTCGTTGCATGTGTTTAATACAACCTCGTGGGCCTGAATTATACTGCGAAACAACTAGTCACTAATTTGCGTCCTTAAAAGCCACATTCTAAATGCCTCCCTTAAAAATTTGTAATTATGGAACCTGAAAGGCCATCGTTTTTCAACCCTTCCCCACTCCCGCAGGAAGGGAACGGAGACGGAGGGAGAAGATCTCACTCACAGCCTCACGCCTTTCTCCAACACCGAGACCCACGCTGTGAGCCCACGTTCCTGTGACAAGCGTTTCTCAGTCACGACGCCAAGATGATTATATGGGAACTGGACGAGGTAAAAGCGCTCTGAGAGCTTCCCAGAGCCATCCTCCCTGGGCATTAAATTCCTTGGGACGTCAGAGTTTGGTCGCCTTCATGCCTTCATTTTCCTGGTCCTTTAAAAGAGGAGTTTTTGTGCAGGCCCTAAACTAAAATGAGCTTCACCCTTAAGGAAAACTGTTGCGTCGCCAAGATAAAAACACTGGATGAAAAACGAATTCTGACCTCAACCACCTCTGCTTTGCCAAGAGAGAGAATGTCAAGCAATGGCTGCTCCTTCGGCTCAAGTGGACGGCAGACTCTGTGCCACCAGCACGCCGGGGTCTGCTCCCCAGCGAAGGGGCGGGCGGGCGGACAGGGACCTGTTTCCCTCGTTCACACAGCCCCGGCGCCGCCCGATGTGCAGCCGGAGGGAGTGCTCAGCACGCATTGGCAGAAGCGACCCGTCAATCAATGTGCTTGCTGTCTACTCCTCCACTCTCGTGGCCAGCCATATTTACAGAAAAAAAAAAAAAATAACTGAGTGAAAAAACTTACTTTAACAGTACTGAAAACTTTCCAAAACACTGGCACTTGTTAAATATCTCAAAATGCCACCTTTGTAGCTCAGAGACTCAGAATTTTCAAGACGACCTGGAAGGAAGTCCTAGACCCACGTAATCATTACGGCTTGTAAGAAGAGAAGTAGCCCATCGAGGGCAACATTTACATAAAGAGCAGAAGGAAGCGATGAGAAGCATTGGGGTGTATACGTCTGTCTGAAAGGCTTCAGGTCCCCATGGGAGGCGGCCCCACAGAGGATGGTGTCTTTGTCTTCGTCACGTGTCAGCATTGTATGACCTCCCTGTGACCTCTAAGTGCTTTTACCCCGGAGGGGAGCTCGGCATTGACAGGAAAGGTATAAATCACAGCCAAGGACAAGGCCTGTGCGTAGGGCTGGCCGATAGCAGCCACCTAACAACTCTGTGTTTCCTCTGGAGAAAAGGGATCGTTGCTCCCAGGGCCAAGACGCAGCCCCATTGCGGGGAGCACGGTTCACACGGTATTCCACGTGAACACCATGTAACTCACACGGTATTCCACGTGAACTCCATGTAACTCAAGTTATTCCACGTGAACGCCGTGTAACTCACAAGTTATTCCACGTGAACACCGTGTAACTCACACGTTATTCCACGTGAACACTGTGTAACTCACACGTTATTCCACGTGAACACTGTGTAACTCACAAGTTATTCCACGTGAACACTGTGTAACTCACACATTATTCCACGTGAACACCGTGTAACTCACACGAGGGCACAAGGTGACGGCGCCCCCAGTTTCGCTGCACTTCTCTGCTACATACCTCCCCCTGGGCACTGGCAATGCCCATCAACCTTCTAGGTCCGTTATGTACAACAGAAAGTTCCCGAAACTAGGAGAGAAATGCACCACTGTCAATGGGGGCTCCAACCCTGGCCCTCAGTGTTTGCTCAGTTACAGGCAATAAACACCGGGAGCCCACCTCCCGAATACTGGATGCTGCAACCTTCTGTAGATGCCTGACACCGATAGCTGAGCTATAAAAAATACAAAGCTTTCCCTCCCTGCTACCACCATTCATTGTCTATGTCTGCATCCGGTTCCAGATGAAAAGCATTATGAATTCCTAGAATTGCAGCATGATAAAGCGGGGAAGTTATAAATATTCCAGCAAATCCACTTGATTTTTGAACACGTAGAAAATAAGATGCCGAAAGATGAATGGCATCTGATTCATACAGATGTCACCTAATAGTTCTAGTGAGCTGAAGCTGACAGCAACAAACATTTCTAGTTAAGAAGCGGTGTTATTAATAGTGCCACCACGACTGTTATTAGAAGCTTATCCAAATGACCTAATTTTTGTTGCCACTGAACTTTCCTAAATATTTCCCACCCCGGTTTTCTTTATTTTAAATATGTCCTTGAGAACATGAGTCAGGTACATTTCTCTGTGTGCACTCAATGCACTACTTCACTTAGCAGTTATTGGTTAGTATAATAGTTCAAAGGAAAAAAATCCTCTGCCATCTCTGCTGTGGACTCTGAAGGACATGTTTCTACTGGGGTTTGATTTCAATCTTAGAAGTAACTGTATAACATGCTTTACCATGGTGCAATATCATTACAACATAATAGCATGTTATCAACATTACCAACAGTAGTCAAGATAAGGTCCATTTTTATCTTTTTCGTATCCCTAGTGCTTGGCACACTCGACAAGAGAGGGATGAGTGAACAACAAACCAATGAACGGGACGGAAATATTTACCCGGTGCTCCTCTCCCTCTAGGAAACCTGGATGCCAGCGGCTAGCTCACAGGGATGATCCCTACCAGAAAGCTCAGGCATCCACAGGGAGGGCCCGTGCACATGCGCAGGCTTGTATTGGGACGCAGAAAAGTAATACGTGGGAGAGATTCAGACAAAATCATTACTTGTCAGGTGGCTGCAACGGGAAAAAGAACATCCTCACACCGCCCTTCACTACAAGGAACTGGCTCTTTTCCTAAAACCGGGCAAGAGGAGGAGGATGTGCGAGGGTTTCCGCGGAAAGTTGCGTGTGAGTGTCCTCGGAGACCGGAAGGACCGGAGGCAGGCTGGTGCTGGAACAGAGGGGGTAAGCTGGGGGCTGGCTGACTCAAAAATGGATGCTATACCACAGCTACGGGGCAGAGGAAGCAAGTGCCATGTCGGTGAGTAACGCTAGCACTGCCTGCGTTCTCTTAGTTCTCAAAATGGCCCATCAGTTAGGCCTTCACAGATAGGGCGGGCGGGCACAGAGGCCCCGGGAAGCAAGGAAGGAAGGCCACTTGCTGTGGTCACTCAGAGGCCAGAGCCTGGGGGAGCTCGGGGTGCATACAACCACAAGAATCTGACAGCCAAGGACCTGGCCTACGGTTACACCCGACTCACCTCGCCAAGGTGTGGCTTTCAAACACGAGGAATAATCAGGATTGCTGCTGGGAGGGGTGGGGGCAGAATGCTCTAGGACTAAAACCTCTGATGCTGTCAGACTGACAAATTCCACGTGGTATTTAATTAGGTAAATGGATGGTAGCAGTGAGATGACAAAAGGCCAGTCCAGGTCGATGAAATGGATACGTGGTGAAAACAGCGAGTCCACAGACAAGCAAGACGTCCAGAGGCATCCCTCGTTCTAACAGCTCCCTGCTCAGTCACAAACCAACACCTGCCTCTCGCCGAGCCCCGAGCGAGGGCTGGGAGAGGGGCCAGCTACTGCCCTACTCTGGGGTAGACGAGTGAAGCTGGATTCTCATGGGGCCCGAGTGTCCTCCACTAGAATTGCTAGATTGCCATTTCAGCAGCGTGTCAGGTACCGATTTGTTTGCTTAGAGCAGGCCTTTCAGCTTATCCAACGTTACGGCTTGAACACCTGCTCCAGAACCTAGAGCTCGGCAGGTGTTGTCTACATCGGGCAAAGGAAGAGAGAGGGAGGGAGAAGACAGACGAGGCAGCCTTACAAACAGGCAAAATTTGCAAAGAATGCGTGGCTAGGGAGGCTGTCTATGTAAAACAAACAAACAAGGCAAAAGGCAACCGTCTCCCTTCCATCTCCCTTCCTAAGTGTCCATGAAACGGAGGAGCAGCTGTTCATTCCTTCTAGGAAGCCAGCACGCAGCACCAACGCGAGGCAGGCGGTGCAGAAGGTTCCGAATGGTCTCAATCTGCCAGAAGCCAGAGAGCTGATGACAACTGGGGGAAACGCCGCTTTGGACGTCACCACAAAGGGCTCCTCGCTGTGGAGTGGTGAGGTCTTCCTACGCCCGGGGCCGAACGCTCCTGACGGAAAAGCCCAGAAGGCGGGAGGCGGGTGGGGTGACGAAGCACAATGGCATTTATATTTTTAGGCTTCAAAACGTCCAGGAAAAAATGTCGGCCCCCTCCCATGATCCCAAAGGATGTATCACTCAAGGGAGAGATCAGAAGGATTAAAACATAAAGGCTTCACGATACAATCGCCGATCGCCTTCTTGTCAAAAAAACAAAGTTGGCCATTGGTGCAAACAGGCGCGGCCGCCAAGGCAGCTCCCTGATGCACCGGGTTTGGCTGCAGAAGGCAGAGAGGTGCGGCCCTGATGACTGGAGCCTCCTGGGAAGTTTACAGACAGCAATACCGTAGACACAACCCTAGTTCTATCAACTCCGTTTTAGCGCCAACTCCGCCAGGCTGGCAGAGTGACGACGTGTGATTAAGAAAAACTGAATCACTCAACCCCTACTTCGTATCTGAGCATCAGAGTATCCTCACAATGGAGAGTCTGGGACAGTCAAGGCAAAGAGGTGCAGAAAGCCCGAGACAGTGGCTAAAGCGGAAGGTGAGCCTCCATCTGCAGGAAGGAATGCCAGGCCTCTGAGCCGGGGGCCATTATCCCCGGAGGACCTGCTGATTACAGACGCTGGTCTGTGTTTAGGAGATCAGAGGGAACGGAGGGAGAGTTCAGAGAACGAAAGGAAGCCCAAAGGTCCGTTCAAAAAAAAAAGACAGAGGATTCTAGAACCACAGGAACTAAGCCTGACATTCACAACGGGGAACAACTCTGCAGGAAGAACGGCTGAACGTGTGGTTTGTGATATTGAGGAGAGAAAGGCCTGGCCTTCAGGAGCCGGACCCCGCTGACCTCATCTTCTGTTTAAAAGGGGGTTTCCAGCAAAGGAGTGCTTCTCTGACCTCAGATAAGATCCTGGACGTGTGTTTGGAGATTTGCGTGTGGAGGTGGAGGTGATGTGTCATCCGTGGCATCGAGGTCTCCTGGGTCGTTTGCAGGAAGGGCTTTAGAGCGACAGGAATGTGCCCTTCGTTCTGTACAACTTCATTTCAGTGCGGTGTTTTGGAAGAGGACATGTAAGGGATGCTCACTTACATCTAAGCTGGAGGCACGGAGGTATTCGATCAGATGACGAAGATTAAAAAAAAAAATATCCCCAAGTAGTTGGAAAACGGCTTGAAGCTCTCAGGATAATTTCTTGTCAAATGTGGCCTTGTATTTATGTCATTAAAGAAAAAAAAACAATAACAACAACAAAAAAACCCCAAACGTTCAAATGCAGAGCAGATGAGACCCACCTCGCAGCAGCTGCTGTAGGAAAGCCGCCGGGGCTCCAGCCGCTGGTGCCCCAGTGCGAGGGAACGTTATGTGATGAGCGCGAATGCAGACCCGGGCCACACAGGCACTGCACCGCCCGGGCCAGATTCCGGGGCGTTCTGTGTGTTTCTGGGGTACACGTTTATGTAAGGACAAGGCATGCTCTAAGGGGGTCACAGGATGGGAAGAACCCAGGAAGTCCTAGGAATGCTATCCCCTGGGGAGTGGCTGAGGGCACGGCAGGTACTGAAGAATGAGGGGAATCCATAATCACTGGAAACGTGAAGGGTGATGGGTTTTGTGTGCGGGAGACACGCTACCAGACTCTACCGAGTGTCAGAGGTCTCGTGCCAGGACGTGACTGGGCCCCATGTGGATGTGAGCTGGAACCACACCGAGAAGCACATCCTAAGGGTCATGATGGAGTGTGACGCCCCCTGTGGGCGACACCCTTGTCACTGGGTGGCCCAGCCAGGCGATGCCAGAGGGAGAGCAACGGGGAGGTTAGACAGATGTGCTCAGGGCTCTGAGGGCAGTACCCATGATACATCGGAAGACGCAGAAATGAAGATGAAAGACAGAATAAAGAAGCAGCGTCTTGGCCTTTCTATGTCACACATGTGCTCCCCCCCGCTCTCCCCCCGCTCTCCCCCTGCGCCCCAAATAACTTTTCCTGTCTGTGTTCAGTACAATTTTTCCTTCTTCTTTCAGATTGCTCAGAGGATGTCACGAACGGCCAAAGACAGGCAATCACATAATGTGCTTTGACAATATCCAACCGGGCTCAGAAAAAAAACGAATCCCGTGTACTTACTGCTTTTGCACTGACACGCTCGGCAGCCGTTCTGGTCCAGTTTGAAGCCGTACACGCAGTCCTTGTCGGTCAGGGTGCAGTTGGACAGCTCCCCGCACGCTGGTGGATCGATGGTGATGTAGGTTGGTTCTAATCATAAAAAGAGAAAGAAAAAAAAATCAGCGAAACAGATTATCTCTTAGATGCTATCCAGTAAATTGACAGAAAACTCGTCCGTTTTCATCAAATCCTAATCTTATATACTTTCATAATGTCTTTTTTTTAAAATTGAATTTAGAGGTGATATTGGTTCACAGATCTTGCAGGTTTCAACTGTACAACTCAATCAAACATCGTGTCTTTAACCTCTGAAAAGGGAAGTTTTTAATTTAGATTTTTGACAATCCAAAAACTCTATTTTTCTTTATGTCTGACCAACTTCCACATTTTTAGGTGCCCTCACCCAATCCCTCTCTGAGGGTCACCGCTGTGGGAAGCAGGTAAGACAGGGTAAGGTGAACTCCACTTAAACTGTTAACTGCTCTCCTACTTCTTCCTGATGTTCCCGAGTTTACTTTTTTATAACAATCAAGAGACAGCTTCCCCCTTTCCATGATCTCACTCTCCATTTTGCAACATTTCTGAAATGTTAGCTTTTTTTTTTTTTTTTCCAAGTCACAAACTCAGAGATGTTTGGGACGAGCTTGAAACATCTAGATCTCTTCCATCTTTCACGTGACAGTCCCTTCAGCCATTAGAGACGGTACAAGGGGTAACAGGGTCTCGGAGCTTCTGCTCAGGGCCTCGGCGTACGCGTGTGGCAGAGTGAGGTACAAGCCTTTGGGGAGACGAGGAAGCAGCCACCTGGGAAGAGCTACATAGAAAAAAAACAACTGACAAGGTCAGGCGATGCTTTACCTTCCCTGCCACTTCAACAAGAAAGAACTATTCTGGGCAATAAGAATACAGCGTCCCATCGAAACCGGTGTGGCTCAGTGGATAGAGCGTCGGTCTGGGGACTGAAGGGTCCCGGGTTCGATTCCGGTCAAGGGCATGTACCTTGGTTACGGGCGCATCCCCCCCGGTAGGGGGTGTGCAAGAGGCAGCTGATCGATGATTCTCTCTCATCGATGTTTCTAACTCTCTATCCCTCTCTCTTCCTCTCTGTAAAAAAGCACTAAAATAAAAATATATAAAATAAATAAGAACACAGCGTCCTGTGTGTCCACAGAATGTTTCCGGAGCTCTGTCATCTAATGTCTCCGAGCCTCCTCACATTCCAGTGGGATGGGAGCCACCGTGTGTCCCATCCCACAGAGGAGAGAGCCCGGTGCACGGGCTTGCCCAAGGTCACAGGTCAGTGAGGGGTGGGCCCGAGATCCAAGCCCAGGCCTCCTGGCTCCGAGGTCACCTGCTCTTGGCCTCTGTCCTGGCTCCTGCCTCGCCCTCCGTGCAGGGGGAGGGGCGGTTCGGGTCCCGCCGGACGGTGCCGGGAGGGTGGTCAGAGGGAAGGGAGGCGCTCACACGTTTATGGAGCCTCTTCCCAACCCAGAGAGACTCGGAGCATCCTCGGTGCACACTGGTTCTCACAATATTTTCTAAAGAGCTGAGGACAGACTGTCTCTACCTATGTTTTCACAAGCGGAAAGTATGAGGTGCGGAGCGTTTACATGGCAACCCAGGAGCGGGCTGGGAATAGGACGGCACAGAGGTTCCCGGCCTCCTGTCCGACACTCTATCCATTAGTCCGCACCGTCTCCTCGGCTGTCTGCCCCCGTTACCATGGGAGGGAGACCAAAATAAGGTTTCCAGCGGCCGCTGCTCAGATCAGGAGTCCTAACCCCCCCCACCGTCTAAAAGGGGCCGGTGACTCAGCCCTCACGGCTCGCAGGCCGCGGTGCCTTTAGAGACTCCGCTCGGCACCCTCCCGGGGGGCATGGGGCACAGGCGGGCGCAGGCTCCGTTCCCATTGGGGCGCAGTGCGGAGACCCCCCCACCCCCCCAGAACTTGACGTGAACGTCCCAATGCCATCACATTTCCGATGTCCTTCCAGGAGGAAAGCATCCTTCCTGACGGAGAACTTAGACATCAAAACGTAGCTTCCGTTTAGGCCGATTTGGGGACAACAGTGGATTCAAGGCAGGAATGCTGCGTTCCTACATTCTCTCGAGAAGGGCCACGCACACGTTCGGCTTTGAAACCCATGCAGTTCTTCCTTTCATCGCTGCACTTAGCGGCCACACAAAACGATTCTGTTTCAGCCTCTAGCCACAGGACTGCCCCGGCTTTGGCGCAATGATTCTAACCACCAATACGAGGGAGCAGAGGGCAGAGGGCCTGCCGCGTGGAAAGATCCCACACCACAGATTGCTCCCCTGAGGAAGGAGTCAGGATGGCATCCCAGAGCAGTGCTTTAACACATGCGTGACCTGACGATTTCCTGGTGGGCACGGCCCTCTCCCCCCTGAGATTGTCAGACAGAAAAACACAACAGCCGGCACAATAACAGCTACCCACTGTCAATGAATCAAAATTATACCTACTTTTTTGGGCCCCCCCAATTTTTTTTTTTCTTTTGGTGTGCCTCAGAATTTTAGTAGTTTACGTGCGCTGTGAGAGAAAAAGGTTGGACTCTTCCCCAACCAAGGCCACCAATTCTCACCCCAGGTCTTAGGGAACATAGTGGTTCACTATTTTACATTTATTTAAAACTTTTAGGGAAGCCCATTTCTTTCATTTCTTAGGAAACACAACAAACCCCCCCAGATCAGTGAAAACACATCCAGGGAAACGTGTTTTTCAAGATTCAGAGAGTGCCAGGCACTGTGTTTCTAGACCACCACCAATATTGCATACTGATTGACGCTCAAGCATTTCCTCCAAGGAATTCTAGCTCCTCAACGGGGATGTTATCAGAGGAATTCTATCTCCTCGCTGTGGTCACAATTAACGTGGCCAAGAGTATCAAGTTAGAACAAAAATCATTATTCTTATTCCGAGGCCACAGCACTGGGCCATGAAATATATACTTGTTTATTTAGGAGGTATAAATGGGTTAAGCAGATCTAAGTAAGCTCTCTACTTTCATGCTTATTTTTATTTTACGCAAAATTCTCCAAAAAGGAGAAAGGGAAGTAAGACGTTGGAACTCAAGTTCAACCTTTTAAAAACAGATCTTAAAGTCTTAATGTCGGTCCTATTGTCATATTGGATCGTCTGAACATGTCTGGGACAACAACAGAACAAAGACATACATTTTGACTTTCCGTTATTTAAAAATGTGTTCAATTGATATAGTCACTGTTCTTTTCTATTTCAGGTAGCTGTTAACTTAAATAAAAATGTTAACAGGTGCTTTTAACCCCCCGTGCTCATGTCTATTGCCCCGTTGGACTTCTGGTTTTGAATTAATGCATACAAGGCTCTTCTCATTACATTGAGCATTATCAGCTGGTTATCTCTTGCAAATAATACCAATTATCCCCATTGAGAAAAGTGTGAAGCACTCTTTCTGATTAGCGCTGGGAAGTAGCTCTTGAGGGAGGGTGATTCTGGGAGGTCCCCTGTGGAGGGCGCTCAGAGCCATCCCTGCTGAGTGTGACTGTTTGGAGGGAGAGGACCTCTGGGTCCAGATTTCTATTGTCGCTGGGGAGGCTCTCTCCCTGAGCTGGGGGTCTGGGCCCACGGCAGGTCTGGAGCGCCTGGCTGCAGGTTAACAGCTGCCCATCAGCACCCTGGATTCCTACAAATCCATACCAGCGTCTGCACGCACACACATGCACACTAAGAAAGTCTTTCTGGAAGAACCTCACCAAAGGCCAATTTCTAAACCAAGTCATTAAGGCAGATCCACTCGTACATTTTTTTTTTTCCAAAGTTAAAGAATGTTAAGTAGAAAAGGATAAATGAAGCTCATTCCTATCTGTCTTATTTCTCTTATTACCTCCCCCTTGGACTTTAATAATGGTTGGCTTTACTTCGTGTAGCTCCTCTCTGTGGACTCACAAACCTGCTTGTTTGATTGTGAGAGACTAAGACGAACAATTATGTTCTCTTTTCAGACCTAATTCAGGCTTTTTTTTTCCTTAAGACTTTTTGGGCTGGGGTGAGGGGGTGGGTTAAGCCAGGCGAATATTTGACTATCGGGACAATTCGGAAGCTTCACTCACTCTATGTGACTGAATCCATCAGGCCTCCCAGAGCCCACCAGTTACTGGTAGTCTGTCCAAGGGCCATAAAACTGGAGATTACATTGGCCGAGACAGAACCAGAGGCGATAGCTTATCTTTTTTACTGTCTTCATATGTCATTCTGTTACCACAGTTGCTACTCAAATGTGACCGTTGGAATAAATCACCAAAATGTCAACATAATTGCAGCCTGGGAAGAGAAATATCATGAAGAGAAAATTTTCCCAAATGAAGCTGGAGGAAAATATTAATGTAGACAATAAGGAAAAAAAAAAGTGAAGATATAAAAATTCCCTAATCTGGAAATGGGAATTTCCATGGTGTATGAATGTGTATTTAAGAAAGTCTCATTAAGTCATGGAAAAATATCTCCTACGGTTGGGAGTCTTCAAATTCTTTCAGGCATTACACATTTAGTTATTCTTTTCCCCTTTGTATATATTTCTCATAACAACACCTACATCCTTGTAATTTCTAAAGTACTTATCTTTATTTTAAAACGAAGGGTGTGAAAATGTTCCCAAGACCTGTATTATTTTATGGTCAGATAGAGAAGAAATCATATATTTACTTTAGACCTATTTATTAACTTTGTATGCTTTTTCCAAGGAATCTTGGCGGTTGGAGATATTTTTCTTCCTTTACCAATCTCATATTTAATAGGAAAAGACAGTAGTATGATTCTGAGATTATTATTAAATGGCCACAAAAGGCAAATAAAAAACAAACTTTTTCTATCGAGTGGGATATCATTTTCCAGGAATTCAGCTTGAGAAGAGCTCAGAAAATAACCGAGTTCCAAGAATAATCTGTACCTTTTATGTTTGTCTTACATTTTATTCCTATATATGTCCTATTCATTTTCATAGAGAATATATCCTGGTAACCTTTAACTGGAAAAACGCATGCCGGATTTGTAAGCATCTGCATGTATGTCTATCTTAACAACTACATTCAGT